ACAGGATTTGCGGACAAGATTCATGGTCTCACGGTTCCAGCCGATGGAGAGTATCATGTGCAAACCTTGCATGAACCTATCGGTGTTGCAGGTCAGATTATACCATGGAATTTCCCTCTTCTCATGTTTGCTTGGAAGGTTGCGCCTGCTTTAGCATGCGGCAACACCATTGTTCTGAAGTCCGCAGAGCAGACACCGTTGTCTGCTCTATATGCAGCAACCCTGTTGCAAGAGGTACTTCACGAATCAAAATTTTCTGCGTCACCTTTTTTGATAAGTTCACTTTCCCATGCGTTTGCTTCGATGTGGTCTCATTTGCTTCAATGGTGTCTCGAGTCCAGTTGAAATTATTAGAGATAATCCGCCCTTCCATGCTTACTGTGGTGCTTTACCTTTCATTCTGATTTGACGGATTTTAACAACTTTCCGTTTTGAGTTGAACCTGCGAGTGGATTATGTGAATGAGCTTTCACATTGATATTTCAATTACTAATGCTGATTGATTTTCCTTTTGGTTTTTTTTTCACAGGCCGGACTTCCTCCAGGTGTTTTGAATGTGGTTAGTGGTTTTGGTCCAACTGCCGGTGCATCTCTTGCTAGTCATATGGACGTTGATAAGGTAATGTATAATTAATGTAAGCTTCTTTCTTGTAATTAGCCATCTTATATAAGTTCATAAGAACTGAGAATTTCTCAAATATTTATTATATCCGCAATAACATCTTTTAATCAAGCATAACTTCTCCAAACTCATGATGAACAAATGTTGCTCAAGGCTGCAACGAATTTGAGTAATAGTAATGCGTCTGCTAGTGTTCCAGTTTGCAACTTTGCATCAATTTGTTATCTGATTGCAATGTTCCTGCTAAAATTACCGTTCATCCCTCCACAGGTTGCGTTTACTGGATCAACTGACACAGGTAAAAAAATACTTGAATTGGCTGCCAAAAGCAATCTTAAGACCGTAACTTTGGAGCTTGGTGGGAAATCCCCGTTCATTGTATGTGAGGATGCTGATGTAGATAAGGCTGTTGAGATGGCACATTTCGCTCTATTCTTTAATCAGGTATCTAAGCATTGTCTTCAGAAAAAAGTTTGATTCTAAGAGGCAAAGAAATCCATTTGCTGATTACATGACACCTCTGTTTGTAGGGTCAATGCTGCTGCGCTGGTTCTCGTACTTTTGTACATGAAAAAGTATATGACGAGTTCTTAGAGAAAGCAAAAGGCCGTGCTGAGAGACGCCTTGTTGGAGACCCGTTCAAAGGGGGCATTGAGCAAGGTCCTCAGGTAAAACGAGTGACACCTCTATTAATCTCTGACCATTAAACATACCGTTGTCGAATGTTGTTTACACAGCCTCACCTGCATTTCCGGTTTTGTATTCTAAATCAGATCGATTCAGATCAATTTGAGAAGATCCTGAAGTACATAGATTACGGTGTTAAAGCTGGAGCTAAACTGGAAACCGGAGGAGAGAGGGTTGGCACAAAGGGTTTCTATATTAAGCCCACCGTATTCTCAGATGTTAAGGTACTAATTTACATTGCAGATCATAAAAACCATAATATTTATCGAGAAGCCGAAACGTGATTATATATTTATATTGATCAAAACATTGCTGTCCCGTGGAGTAGGATGACATGCGAATAGCTAGCGAAGAGATATTTGGTCCGGTGCAGACCATCTTGAAGTACAAGTAAGCAATAAAATCCTCTTTCTCTATGCCTGCTGTGATTACAGCGTCCGGCGCTTCCATTGGAACTAACGATATGGCTGATTGCAGGGATCTAAATGAGGTGATACGAAGGGCAAATAACTCTCGCTATGGACTTGCTGCAGGGGTCTTTACACAAAACATAGACACTGCAAACACATTGACTCGCGCATTGCGCGTCGGTAGTGTATTTATAAACTGCTTCGATGTCTTTGATGCCTCTATTCCTTTCGGAGGGTACAAGATGAGTGGAATCGGAAGAGAGAAGGGCATTTACGGTCTTTCCAATTACTTGCAAGTCAAGGCTGTTGTCACCCCCCTGAAGAATCCTGCATGGCTATGAACTTCATAAGCTTTTTTTTTGTCATTGCCAAAAATAAATGGAGAACTGCATCAAAATAAGTGGCTGTGATGTCATGATGGCATTAATTGTTGACAAAAACTTTTGCTTCTTTGTGATGAACTCTAGAAATGTTTCTGTTGAATTAATTGTTGGTTAAGTTAATCAGTATTTTAGTGGTTGGTCTAATGGCTAATCAACTTTCTATGGTTTGTTGATGCATCCATTTTCTCCTTTTCAAATCATAAATCAAGACTCAATTTACATGATTATTGTGTCTTACTCTATCAGTCCTTTTTTTTAAAGGGAGATAACTGGTGGCAAGCCACGGTTATCCACCCCTTCCGAGGGTCGGGAAGACTCACAGAGGCATTTCAGCCTCCCCTTGGCCACAAGTCTGGCTTCCACACCAGCAGTGAGTTTCGAACCCGAAACCTTTAGTTTTTAGTTTTAAGAAAGTCTTGTAATCCGTCATTACGCTGATCTAACCATGTGCCAACTGAATCCAAAACCTTTTAGTGTCTACAGAGCCAACTGAACCCAAAACTTAAATCATCGTTCAATCCATTTATTTTCACATTCGCCTCACCGTAAAGTTTTGAAAATTAAGGTAAGACTTTCTGTTGAGATTCTTGAGGGTAGAACCCCATTTGACAATGGTTTGGGCCTCACCGCTATATTTTCACTTACTTTTTTACTTTTCGACTTAAATATTCTACTAAATATACACTTGTTGCTCAATAAATCTTAAATCCGCTTCCAATACATTATAAAAATGTCCTTAAATGCTCACGGAAAGTATTTTGGGAAAATAAAAAATTTGCATTTATTTTTTTACAAAAAAACGTGGGTTTTAACACTCACGGTTTTTAGTCAGTTTTGCAAATTCGTAAATAAATCACTGTTCAACCTATTTATTTTCACATTCACCTCACTTTGAAGTTTTGAAAATTAAGTTGAGACTTTCCATTGACATTCTTGAATGTAGAACCTCATTTGACAATGTTTTGGGCCTCACTACTATATTTTTTACTTATTTTTTTAGTTTTCGGATTAAATATTCTACTAAATATACATTTATTGCTCAAAAAACCATAAAACTGCTTTCAAATTCCTATAAAATTTAAGTTAATGCTCATGAAAAATATTTCACAAAAATGAAAATTTTGCATTTATGACAAAAATGTGGGTTGACACTCACGATTTTTAGTTGGTTTTACAAATTTGTAAATAAATAAATGCTCCCGAAAAATATTTTGTGAAAATAAAAAATTTGAACTTTTATCAAACAAACTTGGGTGTTAGGCACACACGCAAAATGAGGCAGACTCTGCGCACATAGAACAAGAAGAACCTGGACGCAGGAAAAACGAAACGATCTTTGTGCACGCAAAACGAGACAAGCTCCTGGCACACAAAAAGAAGCAAGCTCCATTCACGCAAAACGAGTCAGCCTTTGCTCAAAAATGTTGTGGCTTTAGGCATGCAAAACGAGGCGGGATCCGTCGTGCAAGCTGAGACTGGCTCAGCGCACAAAAAATGCTGCACTCAAAACAGGGTGGCTTGACACACAAAAAAACAAGGATATAAATCTAAATCTAAAGGTATTTGAATCCAAATAAAGTAACGTAAGAAGAAAACAATTCAATGGAAAAAAGAAAAAAACAGAAAATAAATAAAGAAATTTGAAAATGATACGATCGTTACTTTGCTGCCGATTGTCCACAAGAGCTGTCACTAGCAAGGTAGCAATTGCTCCAAGCATCAATCATTAGTGTCATACCGATCCCTCATTTTCATTTTTTTAATTATTTGAACGCTACATCAAGGCATGTTCAATAATGGAATTGTCTTCGAAAATCAAAGTGTTCAATAAATTTTTGTTGCTTTTATGATGTTTTTTTAGGCTCTCTCCAAAGTGAGCTTATCAAAAATTTTGTTTCCAACTAATCACTCTTGAATCAAACATAGTCCTATACATTGGTATAAAATATTCGATCAACTCGACCATTTTATTTGGTGACAATATAAACATTAGCGAAATGTGGTACTCACACCACTTGTTCATTCTTGGTTGCTCATTCTTCATGATTTTGGAGCGAGTCTACTCTTGCTACACACCAACATCATCTCTATTAGACAATTTTTTCCATTTGTGCAATTATTCCACTCCCTATTTTTAACGCAACGACTTATAATTATTCTCTTTGCTCATCAAAAATTAAGATAATTTTTAAATTCTCCATAACTGTTAGAAAATTACGCCCAAGTCACAATAATCATTAAAAACAAAAGGGAAGTCTCTTCTTCCCTTCCTCTCTTCACAAGTCATAACTAATTAACACATTCGACTTGGCATAAATTAATTGAAAAACAAAATTTAATCAGTTCCAAATTATATTATTTATCCCATAACAATTAAAAATAGGGGTGTGTTATCCACACATCTCTTTTTACTTCTCACACACCTCTTATTAATTACTGTCCGTTGATCTTCTTTAATTCATCCGATTCGACGGTCGAAAACTAAAAAAATATGAAAAAAAATAAAAATAAGTGTGTAGATATCATATCTCTAAAAATAATTCTACGTTATTAGACCCAACTCTCTGTCGACTCTCTCGAGTGTCGGCGACCTCTCTTCACGTACACTTTCCCTTCCCATAATCGACGGTAAACGCGTCGCACTCCCATTAGCCTTCCCCAACTCGAAGCACTCTACGAGCCGCCATTTTCCCAACACCCACGTGTCTCACAGGACACGTGTCGAACGGTGAACGCCCAAGTGTGGAGCCCTCGGATCTCTCGCATTCGTCAGCGACGCACAGACTTCCAACACGTGTCCCGTACTCATCCCCTTATATAAACTCACGGACGTTCTGAACCCAAACAAACAAACAAAAACCAAATCTGAGGATCGGACCTTTTCATCCGTTCTTTTCGATGATCCAAAGATCCAACGGTTCGGGTCGCAGGATTCTCACGTACCCGGCGGTTCATCCCTGCGAAGCCATAGCTACGCTGACACTCCTGACGTCGCTCATCGCTCTCACCCGCAACATTTGCTCTTTCAAGTCGAAATTCATCGCCAGAAACGCCAGAAACGCCCGGGAAATTATCCGAAAAATCGGAGTCGTACTGATTTTTCTCGAAGAAGTCTGAGACGGGTCGTTGGGTCTTCCGGCCTCCGCGGTTCTGAGCTTGTCGGAGCTCCACTTGGCCTTCCAGAAAGTTCAGTTCTTGCTGGAAGACTTGGCCCGGGACGACGCCCGGGTATGGATGCTGATGAATTCGAGTCGCGTGGCGAGTCAATTCCGTGTCCTGAGTCGGGCCATGGGTACGGCTCTCGATGTTCTCCCTCTCGGGTTGGTCAGCGCCGCCGTCGAGGTCAAGGAGCACGTGCAATTGGTGGCCAGGCAAGCGCGAAAGGCGGGGTATGAAGTCGACCCGGATGATATTCGGGTCGCGTCGGCGGTATGGTCCGTTTTGTCCGGGTTTGAGAAACGGGTCCTTCCGGGCGTGGGAGATTTGAAACGGGTTCTTGAGTTTCTTCGGATTAGGAAGTGGAGCAAGTGCGAGAAGCAAGTCAAGTTCTTGGATTCGGAAATTGGTCTCGAGAATTTGGGGGAGGAGAAGAGAGAGGTGGCCTTGTTGAGCAGCCTGAAGCGGTTGATGTGCTACTGTCGATGTGTGTTGTTCGATGCTGTCGATGGGGAACGGGGTCGAAGATCCGGCGGCGAGGCGGTGGGTTGCTTCAATTTAGAAGATTTCCGGTGCCCGATTTCGCTGGAAATGGCTGATCCGGTGACGGTATCAACAGGGCAGAGCTACGATCGGTGCTCGATTGCGAAATGGTTCAGAGCTGACAATCTCATTTGTCCCAAGACAGGGGAGAAGCTCAAGAACACGGAAGTGGTGCCGAATTTGGCGCTGAAGAGGTTGATCGAGCAGCACTGTTTCGAAAATGGTGGTGCGTTTGCTGATTCGGGTCGTCGAAATCTCGACATTGGGAGGGCTAGGCTTGCAGTTGCAGGGAGTTTGGCAGATGAGGGAGCCATGCAAATGGTGGCCGAGTTTCTTAATGGAAGGCTTGCGGTTGGGACAGTAGAAGAGCAGAACAAGGCTGCTTATGAAATCCGGCTTCTTACGAAAACAAGCATTTTTAACAGGTCTTGTTTGGTTGAAGCCGGTGTGGTTCCACATTTGTTGAAGCTGTTGTGTTCAGCTGATTCGGTGACTCAAGAGAATGCCATTGCATCCTTGCTGAATGTTTCGAAGTATTCGAAATGCAAGGCCGTGATTGTCGAAAATGGGGGTCTGAATTTGATGGTAGGTGTGTTGAAGAAAGGTCTCAAATCAGAGACTCGTCAGCATGCTGCTGGCACATTGTTTTACCTCGCTTCGACCGAGGAGTACAGGAGATTGATTGGAGAAACTGCAGATGCCATACCGGCTTTGATGGCGCTGATCAAGGATGGGACTGATAGAGCCAGGAAAAACGCATTGGTTGCGATTTTCGGGCTCCTCACACACCCTGCAAATCATAGGAGGGTGATAGCAGCAGGAGCAGTTCCTCTGCTCGTTCATGTCTTAACATTATTTGATAGTGAAGCTCTCGTCATGGATGCTCTGGCAATTCTGTCAACTCTCGCAGAGAAAGCTGATGGATCGATTGCAATTTTGCGTTGCAAAGCATTGGATTCGATTGTGGGGATCCTGAACTCCTCCATTCCAAGGGCGGGGAAGGAGTTCTGTGTATCTCTGTTGCTTGCTCTTTGTGTAAATGGCAGCGGAGATGTGGTTGCTCTTCTGGCGAAGAGCACTTCGCTTATGGGAACTTTGTATTCCCAACTCAGCGAAGGCACATCCCGAGCAAGCAAAAAGGCCAGTTCTCTCATCAGGGTCCTGCATGAGTTCCATGAAAGGTCATCCGGCTCAATCTCTCCGGTTCTTCCACAAGAGCGATTCGTTCACGTTAGGTAACCCCGAATATTAGTGGGGCGAATTACATGACTTGATTCTTTTCAGGCCCTCCTGTAAATCCAGGGTCCTGTGTATATATCGTGTTATTTTAGTTTGATTTTCTTCTGGTTTGGTTTCGTTATTGGCTTGGTTTTTCCAAGAGCTAATGACTGTATGTATGATATGATCAGCTTCTATTTTTTTCAACGAAGCTTTGTCCAAAATCATTGTTATATTGCAATGTATTGTAATTGTTTTACCATTTAAAATCACTAATAAATCATTCATGATTGTTTCAATATACAAAACTAGCTGCTCGAGTTTCTCCGATTTCCAGCCTTGATTGGTAGGGTAAAAGAAGCCGACTGTTTTTGGGTTCAGATATCAAGTGCCCTTTCGAGTTTTGATACCACTTGCTCCATGCTTGGCCTCTGCAGCTTTAGTCCTGTGCACGACAAAGCTAGGTTGAACACAAGGTCAAAAGCTTCTACCGAATACTCCCCGTTAAGTTTGGGATCTGCGAATTCTGTTACATCACCGCCTTTTGTGAGAGCCCTTGCCTGAAGAACAAAGACACGGAACATAAGAAGCCGAATCAGGGACTCGAAATAGTTTTGCCAATATGTGGGGAAAAAAGTACGAACTTTGTTACCATTTTACTAAGAGGCATTGGTTTGTTTGAGTTTAGATTGATGACCCTGCGCCCTGAGATAAGTTGCAGAAGAACTATTCCGAAACTGTAGACATCTCCTGAAGCATTTACGCGGTGATTCTTTCGGTACTCAGGATCAACATAACCGAATGTGCCTCTCACTTCTGAGCTCACATGAGACTGTCCCAAGTCCATAACTTTAGATAACCCGAAGTCTGACAGTTTCGCTTGAAAGTTTTCATCAATGAGAATGTTTGTTGGCTGCCAGTTGGGAACGCGACAAGAAAGGAACTTTGATGAAATGAGTGGCAAAGGAACAGCTACAGAGGCGGCTTAAAGAAAGAAAATATATTCCTACCTTGATATCACGGTGAACAATGCAGCCTCCCGGATAAGTGTGCAGAAACCAAAGGCCCCTAGCACTGTCAATCGCAAGCTCGAGTCTCGTTCTCCATGGCAGATTTTTATCTTTACCTGCAATCGGCTTTGATTGAATGGGCTTTCTGAATGATGAAAATGCTAGAGAAAATCTACGCGAATGGAAATGGAAACTTACCAAATAGCCACTCCGAAAGGTTCCCATTTTGACACAGTTCATAGACCAGGAAATATTCTTCTACATCCTCACAAGAGCCAAGCAAAGCTACAAGGTTTGGATGTCTAACATCAGAAAGGCTCGTTACTTCGCGGATGAATGTTTCAACAGATCCATCGTTGATTATGTGCTTCACTGCAACATGTTTCCCATTTGATAGTATGCCTTTATATACCTTTCCTGGAAATATTATCAGATGGTATCAGAAAGGAAACTTTGGATTAACTACATAAAAACTACCCAAACAATATGGCCATTTTCAAGTCGCTTCTGCACTACTCAACATATTCAAACTCATATCCGAACTTACGGAAACCCTACATAAAACTAACCAATTTTCTTACTGTTCTGGAAGATTCTTACCAGCTCCTCCTTGCCCAATGAAGTTGACTGCGCTTAGATTGTCGGTTGCTGAATAGATTTCCTTGCTTGATATCTTAAGGCTGACGGATTCTTCAGACGGTAAATCATTTGATGCTGTCCAGTAAAACAAGGTCAGCAACAATTCACAATTGTTATGTTAATTTCTAGTAAGATATGAAACTTGTTGCAGAAATACCATATTTTCGAGCTAAAATACTCTCATGAGTCCTTTTTCTGCATACGGTCCATGTTGCAATGAGAATTATTGCTGTAATTCCTGCCACACCTCCACATAGAATCCACAGACCTGACAATCTCATGAAATTAATGAAAACACCATCATGACTGACCTTAAAAAAAAACTGCCAGCGACTTCCCGTTCATGGTTGTGCTGACAATTAGTAAGTTAGATTACCTGTTCTCAAGTTTACACCCGTACTTCCTGAACTTCTCTGCACATCTGCAACAGAAGCAAAGGCGATACTCAGCTCCAGTTTAGGGTCTGTTTGGGACTGCTTCTAAAAGGGCTAAAAGAATTTTCTTACAACCAAAAGCATTTCTGACTATTGTTTCTAAATCCACTCAGTAAAAGCGCTTGTGAGTTAATAGCAGAAGTGCTTCCTATGGAAGCAGTCCAACAGTTAAACAAAATGATACAACTTACTGTTGTAAAAAATGAAGACATGAAATAGTATCAGTTTCTTTCTTGACAGCCTATACCTTCTGAAAGTTTCTGATCCCCAAGGCATTCATACAGTGCTGTAACCCAATTCTTATCATCAATCCTCCTACTTGTTAAAGTTACCAAAACTGCAAAACCACAAATATCAGCTTCAAGTTTTGACGACGATGACTCATTTTCCGATGATGCCACAATCTCTTCCCACCTTCTCAGACATGCAATACAAGCCTGATCCTGCTCGGACTTTTCGCCCGTGCCCAAAAGCTTACAATCTTCATCTAAATTTTCCAATGTGTTCCTCAGATTGTCGAAAACATCTACTTTCGTGTAGTCAGAGCATCCGCCTGCTCCACTTGTTAGCTTGTCAATTCCACAACTCAAAACATCATCTTTAATACCCTTCATTGAAATTAAGCAGTTTGTCTGCTCTGTCGAGTTTAAGAAGAGCTGCACTGTCCGGGGTGTCCTGTGCCCCGTCCGGTTTGCCTTGTGCCCCAAGGCGTATATGTAATCATCAAAAGCAGCTCCGCAACAATTGCTGATAAATCCACCCCAATTTCCTTCTTCACAACTCGTGCTGCGCCACGCTGAAGAGTCTTGAACATCAAGGACACACTTAATATCTGGGGTTTGTGAGAAGGAAAAATTTAAGGCGCTGAGGAATAGAAAGAGTACTATCGGTTTGTGATATTTCATCGGATTAAGACGATGGAAATTCAACAGAAGTTTGGCCATGGAGGGTGGTTTTTAAGGATCATAAACAAAAGGGTAGATTTAGATGCCAGAATTATGCCTCCTTAAACCGTCCCCGGGAGGATTAAGTGTTCTTAGTGCTTGTGTTTCTGTGACGAACGGATGCTCAAAAACTTCAAACTTGGTATCTGGAATGATTTCAGAATCTAATAGGATTAATCATTGGCTTGGATATCTATCTTTCAGAAGAGACGGCTGTCACATATAAATTTATCTGCAAACTTATTTACAAAATATATATGTACGTATGCATATATATATATATATATATATACATACATATATATATATATATATATAGAGAGAGAGAGAGAGAGAGAGAGAGAGAGTGTTTGGAGTTATTTGAAGTTGGAAGAATGCAAACAAGGCAAATGGCTGTGAGGTGATGCAGAAGAGAGAAAGCTGGTGTGTGTGAGATAGCTCTGTCGTGCCATGTATTATGCAGGCTAATCTAAACAAGATTAGCATTTTGTTAATCAAACAATTAGCTAAGAATCAATCAAACCACAATATCTTATTGATATAAATAAAGAGTAATGCCGAATGTAGAAATCTTGAGAGCGATTTCTGAAGTTGGTTGTTAAGAATTTAAGGGATGACAAACCAATGGGACAAAACGCATGGTACAATTCTCCAGCTAATCAAGCTCATTGGAGGTCAAAATTTCATTTAAAAATGATGGAAGGCCGGTTGGAATGAATACAATAAACTTAACCTAAGAATCGAGAAAACCCTGTGTAGGGACAACCGATCATGTCTTCTCCCAAAAAACAATAGCAGCCCTTATATATTTTGGTCTCACTTGACCTCACGCTGGTCTCACCCAATATGAGAATTTCCCTAATCAGGGAGCTCTACGGCCCTACCTAAGATTTCCTTCTCAAGGACAGATGTTGCACTCAAGATGAAGATTCTTAACTTCGGTTCTAAAGGTCAATTTTCAAAATTGAGACTTTGAGCTGGTGTATGATCATATCTCTCTGGTTTGACAAGTATACATTTATCACCCAAAGAATATCATTTAATAGCAGAAAATTACTTTGTAAAAGTCGCAATTCCAAAACACACTATCTTCTAAGAACTGTTTGACTTGATGAAGATCACAAATGCGATAAATTTTATGCCACACAAACACCAGCAGTTATGCAATTTGGACACCTAAAATTAGATAAGTCAATTCAGAGTGCCAAATGGGAACGTCCCCCTCAAGTTGGAGAGGTTTTTCAGTGTGTCAAAATACAAGGCATAACAACACATTATACAATTCAAGAGATACTTGAAAAGAATTTTTTTTTACAACTATACAATAACATATGATATTCTGCCCTGTATTCCGGCCATAGTGATAATTCTCACTCCAAATCAACCTTCTTGCCATCATTGGTTGGGCTCTATTTTTTTATTTTTTTTTATTTTTTTTTGTCAGGTCATGAGACTCGGGACTCATTCTTGGGGCCCCAAGTTATTGGGCTCTAAATCAACAACCCTGTCCTCTTCCTTTCTTTTTTAATCAATGATGAAGATCCGAGCCATAATCCTCCACCTCTAATGTAAAATTCGTTGCGTATTAAACCAAATATGGAGACTGAATTCTTTCAACATCAAGAATTGAAAAGAAAAGCACTATTAGACTAAGAGCTACTTGATTCTGTATTTTCAATTTCGTTAGTACTGCATTCGTTTTTTAATAAAGATACACATCCTGCCTAAAAATATTTACCCGCTTAGGGTTCAAATTTTTTATTCTGGTAACAAAAAATTTAGTGGGGATTAGTTAATTTTCACCACCAGAGCCAAGACATACCCACAACTTCGAGAGAGAATGACTTACGCGTGACACCTAATTGCCACTGCCACTGATATAGATTCACGTAGAAATTTACAAATCACGCACTAACGGTTGGCAACGAAACTCAAATTTTAGTGAAACGACACATAAGGTTTTACCTTATCAACCGAGCCAACCATCGTTTGCAAGAGACCAAATTCTTCACCTACAACACTATCTTAAAAAAGAAGTGTGCTTACAAGTTTACAACCCAAAACCTAGTTGCCTTAATAAAAAAAGCACATCCCTTCAAACTCCCACAAAAGAAGGAAGAAGCACATGACATTTGGTTACGTCTCAAATCTCAATTCAATAATTGGAGACTAAAACGACAACGTCTCATTCCGCCTTCACCTCCAACAGTCCTACCAAATCTCCATCGCCAAAAATATCTTCCCTGAATCCAAGAGCAAAACTCAAAGATCTGAGCTTTCTCAGCTGATCCAATCCCTCAACCCGAACCCGGAAACCCATTGCGAAACATCCACCAATTTCCGATGGGTTTCAATGCCAAAACCGCCGACGAAAATTCTGAGGCCAGCCTCCTGCTCCCCACCGTAACCGCCGCCGCACCTAATAAAATCCCAAAGGACTCCTTCCACTTGGCCTATATCATCTACTTCACACTGGGTCTCGGCTACCTCCTCCCATGGAACGCGTTCATCACAGCCGTCGATTACTTCGCCTACCTCTACCCAGATGCCAGCGTCGACCGTATATTCTCCGTCGTGTACATGGTGGTGGGCCTCTTCTGCCTCCTCCTGATAATCTTCTACTCCCACATGTCCGAAGCCTATGTCCGGATCAATGTGGGCCTGGGCCTCTTCGTCGTTTCGCTGCTAGTCGTTCCCCTCATGGATGTGTTTTACATCAAGGGTCGGGTCGGGTTGTACGACGGGTTTTACGTGACGGTTGCGGCGGTTGCACTTTCCGGCGTGGCGGATGCATTGGTCCAAGGCTCGCTCATTGGGGCGGCTAGTGAGTTGCCCGGAACTTATATACAAGCCATTGTGGCCGGGACTGCTGGTTCAGGTAAAACTCCCTGCTCTTTGGATTTTCCGGTCGACTTTGGATTTTCAATTTTTGGGTTTTCTCTTTGTTTGATTTTGGTTTCTGGGCATTGTTTCATTCTCTGAATTAAATTCTGATTTTAGTTAATCCCAGTTGACCTTCTTTGATTTTCTGAATCTCTGTGTAATCTGAATGGCCGTTTGGGAAACTCTTCTGGTCATAAGCGCTTCTGCTAGAAGTGCTTTTAATGGATACACATTGAAATTGTTATTGAAAGTTTAACTGCATTCTGGAAAAGCACTTGGAAGTCTGCAGAAAACCTTCTCCATGGAGGCCTGTTTTCCTACCAAATGTAGTTAGAAACGCTTTCGATTGTCATAAGCACTTTTAGGTCTCTATGGAAGTATCAAATGAAAATTTCATTGCTGAAGCATATTAATTTTTTCTGCTCTAGGTTACTGGTTATGAGTTCATCAGAGTTTCCCAATAGGTCTTTCCAAATTTTGGATGATTTTACAGGAGTCGTCGTTCTGCTCTAAGGATCGTAACCAAGGCTGTATATCCACAAACTGCCGATGGCCTGAGGAAAAGTGCTAACCTTTACTTCGCCGTCGGGATAGTCATTATTGTCATATGCATTGTTTTCTACAATGTGGCACCAAGGATTCCGGTGATGAAGTATTATGCAGATTTGAAGGTTCAGGCTGTAAACGATGAGACAGAAGAGAAGGGTCCGCTGACCGTGACTGTTTTGAGATCAACTCTGTGGCACGTAGTCGATAGAGTCAAGTGGTATGGAATTAGCATCCTCCTCATCTATATCGTGACTTTGTCGATATTCCCGGGATACATTACCGAAGACGTGCATTCTCAGATTCTTAAGGATTGGTACCCAATCATCCTTATCGCCGGCTACAACGTGTTTGATCTCGTTGGCAAGTCTCTGACTTCTGTGTATCTCCCCAGAAGTTCCAAGGTTGCAATCGGCAGTACAGTTGTGCGATTGCTCTTCTTTCCTCTCTTCTACGGGTGCTTGCACGGCCCCAAATTCTTCCGAACAGAGATTCCAGTGACGATACTAACTTGCCTTTTGGGACTCACTAACGGCTACTTGACCAGTGTGTTGATGATTTTGGCTCCCAAAGTTGTCCAATTACAACATGCCGAGACTGCCGGGATCGTGATCGTGCTGTTCTTGGTTCTGGGGTTGGCTGCTGGCTCAGTTGTATCTTGGTTCTGGGTCATCTGATTGCTCAGCAAATTGCGTACATACTAAAAACTCTAAAACCTGCTATTGCCGAGATCCCACTGCTGGCTCAGTTGTTTTTCTGTATAGCTTTGTAATGCTACTGTTAATAATATTTTCTTAAACATGGATTATGAAATGTAAATGGTTGATTATCAATTTGTTCATCTTTATGTAAACCTGAATTTGAATCGGATACCATGCTAACTGCTAAAGATGTGATTTTCGCACTCCGTTTTCTCGGTAAACCAAAGGAAGATCAAGGAACAAAAACAAAGGGAGAAGCGTAGAATGGGAAAGCGGGAGTGTGAATCAAATCACACCCTCGGATTGAAAACAAAAATAATACGCACCGGTGCTTGGAGTTCTTAAAAGAGAATAACAGAGGTGTAATGGTTGGAAGGGTTCCCCGGTCATGCACTGCAAAATACAATGGCCTGAATGAAAGTGCCAGTATAAATATAAGTAAAATTTTGGAAAGAAACAGCAATAGGACATCTGATAGATTCCAAAGCTACAAACAACCCACAAGAGTGAGGAAACAAAACAGCGGGTGTTAATAGCTTATGGAGCAAAATGTATTGTGAAGCAACACAAACAGAAAGAATTTAGTTTAGCCTTGACGGCCATCTATGCTATCCATCCTAGGTAACGACGCTGGAGGCCAAAGGACGTATTATGCTAACAAGACTCGGGTCTACAGCAGCAAAAGTACAACTGACTAGAGAAAACTATTAAGTTCTTGTTCTTGAAGCCAGACCTGTCTCGACCTTCTTAATTTCAAAGATGAGCATCCTCCACATCTTGAGAACAAACATTTCGGCTTCTTCGTCTAAAATGGATTGAAGCAGCTGTAGCATGCGTTCTGCTCCAACATGTTCCTGAGTACTAGATACAATGTAATCTACCAGTGTGGTCTCTTCCTCTCCCAGGAATTCCGTAATCTTCTTCGAAATCCATGGTCTCATGCGTTCATGTAGTGCATGCTGTGAAAGCAGAACACATCAGACATTAGTACGAGCAGTTATTAGACTATTTGAATGAATGATCACCAGGAAGCAAATCTTGCAAGTTTAAACAAAATAATTTAAAATCATGGGCTGTGCTTACATGTTCATAAATAGCCCAATTTATTTCATAGGAGAATAATTCCTCCTTTGTCTTTGGAATCATATCGATCAGTTGTTTTGCATCCAAAAGCTTCTTATTATCCTTTGTCCTTGGTTTATTCATCGCATGGTCTCGATCCGTATCACGGTCAATAGTCTTCTCCCTGTGCTCATCTCTAGTCCGATTAGAGTCATCACCATTCTGGTCCCTATCCCGGTGGCTTGACCTATCATTAGAACGTCTACTTCTTTCCTTCTCTGTAACTGGCTTCTCTTCTTTAGAACTAGCATTTGATATTCGCTTTGCGAATTCAGCCGCTGCAGCCAAATTTGATGGAGCTGTCCCAGAAATTGGTTGGACAGCCTGTAGTTCTTCGGTTGAATAATCAATGGGAACCAGGGGCCTCATTTTTTTGTCCTTGTGTGCATCATCATCCTCCTCATTGAAAACAGAAGGAACAGCGGTACGTTTTCCAGAACCCAGTAGGCCAAAACCCAACTTCTTTGCTGGGGCACTGCCACTCTGCTGCGGTTCTGATGCAGAAACTGAAGTCATGGTTGACTCATCATCACTGTTACCATTTTGTAAAGTCCCATCACCTGTCGCATCAAAGTCAAACGACATGAACAAAAAGGAAAAGAAAAGGGAAAAGAGGGCAAAAGAAAACTACGATAAAAGCAATAAATAACTTCCCGAGTAATTTACCTATATGATTCTCATGACCAGAATCACCCCCATTATCCTGTTCAGTTGCCTTATCTTTCAGTTGCACACCGAATTCTTCAGCCAAAGCAGCTTTTTCGCTTCCATTTGCAACATGGCCAGATGAATCCCTCAATGCATCTCTCTCTTGCTGCAGCTGCTTTTCCTCTTCAGCCCTCCCTTTAGCATCAGCAATTTCTTCTTCCTCTTTCTGCCTGTCAGCTAAGTCTTCTTCTTTCTCCCGTAGTCTCCTCTTTCTCTTCTCCTCCAACACACTTCTCCTCCATTTTTTTCTGGAATCTTCATCCTCATCATCTTCTTCATAAATTATCTCTTTCCTCCGTTTGCGTTCCCTCTCTTTCTCCCTCTCCTTCTCATACTGCCTCTGTTTCTCTTTCTCCCTTTCCCTATACTCCCAATCTTTGAGACATTTTTCATACTGATGCTCAGCATCCTCCAGTTTTCTCCTTTGCTCCTTCTCCTTCCGTACCCGTTCTCGCTCTGTTTCTCTTTCGTATCTTTCAATCTCACGCTCCTTTTCCCGTTTCATATCTCGCTCATTGTCTCTGCTCCTCCGATCTTGCTTTCTGCTCCTATCATGTGAGCTTGTTTGAGGGCTCCCCTGCTCGCTTGTTGTTTTGTTGTCACTAGTTATCTCTTCATCAATTTTTTCTTCATAAGCATCTGAAAAGTTAAAGTACCAACTATAAGTGTAACAACAAACTGCCACTAATAAATGACTCTAAACAACTTCTTTGCTTATTGAGTACAAACATGAGACTTACCATTTCTCGTTATATCAACATCAGAGTCTCCATCCCTTGATTTAGCTGGCAGCGCTGAGTTTGAATTCCTAGTACCATCACCAGGGGCTGGTGTAGGTGGCGGAGGAGGGAGAGGTTTGTTTTTTATTCTCTCCTCTATCAAACTTGTAAGCTTCTCCATAGCCTCCCGGTCAGCTTCCTTGTCTTCGTCAGTCACAATACCAAAATTGGCAGGGTCATTTTCTTTGTTACTCGAATTACCATCTTCCTCCTTTGAGTCTTGTACAGAAGGATTTGAAGGTACAATCTTCTCAACGTCTAGTGCACTTCCATCACCTTTCTCAGCTGCTTCAGCTTCTTTGAGCTTCTTTGAGTTTTCAGTCTTCTTTTTAACAACCCTCTCCAGATACTCTCTTGTTGCTTGATTAACATTTAACTGTTTATGTTTACAACATCAAATATAAAGAGATAAATATAAGCAAAGTTGAACGCGCGGAGAAGTATATATGGCATGATTACTAAGGAAGGCCGTGAGATTTTCCATTGCACCATAATGACAATGACAAAAAAAACACAATTAAACTGACAAATTATCTAATTAGAATCACGACATACAACAAGGTCCTGCCCATCAATGCTCAAATTAGTGAGAAGACGCAATGCCCGAAGAACCCCTTCAGCAGATTCAAATTCGCAGAACCCAAAGCGCCTAGGAGTACCATCTGTGGGATCTTGAGCACGTTTCCAACTCTTGACAGGTCCACACAACTTCACAAAAGGTAAACCATTAGAAGTCAACTTATAAATTTGGGTAACATAACAAAACAGTGGGAAAATTGATAAAGAACAACAGAAATCGCAGTAATTTGACAGCACACCTGGAGGAGATATTTCATAAATTCATTGTCCACCGTTGGTGCTATCTTCCCAACATAAACAGTGGTTTGTGGTTTCTCAGCTGGAGTGACAATAGGAAGAATCGGCCTAACAACAGGAGGGATAATTGGGCGAACTCCAGGAATCCCAGGAACAGGGGCACGCTGAAGCAAACCAGTTGCTCCCGGTGGGCGTGGAGGAAACGGGGTCCGAATCATTGGATGATATGAAGGATAACGAGGAAGTCCTACAAAAACACAAATAAATATCTTGCAAATGTGTCAGAGAACGCTTATGAACTGGATCCAATGATAGATAGGTGACCCTCCCCAAGCTAAACAGATGTATGAAATACAGTATGACTCTAAATAATGACTTTTGTTACCACACATTAAAAGCATATTATAGATGGCAGCACAGGCATAGCAACTACCACCAGCTGAACAGATAACCTGAAGGAAACATTAAGAAGCAGCATCGTGTTCATAAACCATGAATGAATAAATTGTGCTTACCTTGCACATCCACTTAGACCAAAGTAGCCTTCTCAAGTAAAATAAAACCTCCAACATCTCATGCATATAGGGGTTGATGAGAATTAAACATACTTGATATACCGACAGTTTAATTCATCTCAAAAGGTTAGCAGTATGCAATGCAGCATGAGAACATTAGAAGATTAAAAACAAAATTTTAACAAACATGCACAAATAAACACATGATTAGATGTCTACATGTATTTATAAATAGATTGATTGATTGTCAGATGAATGGATGATGGACATATATATGTATCTATGGATAGAAAGACTTCAGTACCTTAGAACACAAGGGCAATGAGCACTCAGTTGCAAACATGGTCTGCTTCTGGCAATTCATAAACCCATGAAAGGGAAAGTATCCTTAAAATTACCAGAAAGCATCCTACTCAAATAAACACGACATAGTAATGTAACTTTAGCATGACAAACTGAACAGTAAAATTTTCCGAATTTTGGGAATATTCATTTATATTTTGAACTCCAGACCAACTTGAGCTTGAATAAAACTTCAAAATATGTGCATACCAAAAAAGGAGTTGTAGATGGGGGGTTCTCAAAGCAATATGAAGCAAGCCTTCCAACCTTTCTCACCGAATTCAATCAAGACACTGTACGAGAAAACATCCTGTCATCGATACCCTCAATCTAACACACTACACTAACTTTTCTGAACAAACTCCGAACTCTGCTTTAGCAAACTCTTCCCACTGTATTATACCATTAGTCTTAATTTGATTGCTATCCGTAGATTAAACAAAGTTATTTACTTTTCACTTTTTCGAGACAAAAACCAAAAGCTTGATGCACTCAAGCAATTCCGTGTGGCACATTAATCAACTGGACCTAAGTATTTCTTGAACAACACATACCAAAACAGCACCAAGCAATTGAAATACGAGAACCAACAATATATACAAATATTTGGAATTGAATTGAAATTGAATAGCAGAAAAAAAAACATACGAAATAACTAAGTGATTACAGAGAGAAGCAAAAACCCACCAGGTAAGGCGCCTTGGGGAGCACCAGTGGACATGGGTGCGTATCCATTAGGCATCGGTGCGTACGGTCTCATAGGCTGCATCTGGTAATGCATCATATTCTGCGGGGCCGATGACGGCGGGGGCACACCAGGAGCCATCGGAGCTCCGGAGCTCACACCAGGCGGCTGGACACCGGGGATTTGATAATTCGGATTGGGCACACCGGGGTTCGGTATTGGAGTGAACTGTGGAACCGGCCGGAAAGACGGCGCGACCGGCGGTAAGGCGCCGGAAACCTGTTGTGGCGCGAAGGAGATCGAAGGATGTGACGGTGGAGGCGGCAGAGATACTAGAGGCGGATTCGAATCAGGGTTTACGGTGATAGGTGTGGATGATAACGACGATGATTGTGATGGTGGTGGTGGTGGTGGTGGTGTGCTGGAGGCGGGTACGGGATCAGGTTGGTTAGATTGGGGATTAGGGTTACCGGATTGGGGATTGGACAGTGGGTTTGTGGCGGGAGAAGAAGGAGCGTCCGCCATGGCTAGAAAGAATTGAAATCTGCGGGTGAATTTTTGCTTTTTTTGTGCCCTAGGAGAGAGAAACAAGGAGAGGGAGAGCGACAGAGAGAACAAGGGAAGGGTTTATGTACGAATTACAATAGTTTGCGTTCGGGAAGAAGTAAAAAATTTGTTAGATTAGCAGTGTACGTGTCGCCCCTCTATTGGCCAACAAAACTCAAAAGAACATACAGGCCTTAATTCTTGGGAGTATTTTTGCTCAACACAAAAACTATGGTGTAATAATTAATCGTCTCATATGTGTCATTTCAAAATTATATTTTAGTGTGTATAGAACCTGTGATAATATATCACGTGTTATTATATTTTAAGTAGATTTTACAGATTTTACATTATTGCAACATGATATGACATAAAATTCACACTTTTTAGGTCCCCACTTGACTTTGTGTAGATGTTTTGACATCCAATTTATATATTTCATTAGGTTGATTGTGGATAACCGTTAACTAATGACGTTATAAGTATAGGTCACACATGTAAAACATTTGTGTATTTTCTATGGAATGACTACTACGTTCAAAAGGCACGCATAAGACTAAATGGTTGATCAGATAATTAGCCAAATAAAATGTGTAAATTGAACGATATCAAAAGGATTAAATCACAATCGTCTCAATGTTTAAACAATAAGATTTAATTTGGTTTACAATAATTCGATTTTTAGCTAAAGTCGAAAACAAAATGAAAGTTACTATTCGGTTTGATTAGCCCGGTCTACCTATATTCAAGTAATATTAGGGTAAATTTTATAAATTATATAACGTATTTGGTTTAAAAAATTGGTCTACCGAACATTATTTTTATTAGGTTTTTTATTTTGTCGTGACATAAGAAGCTGGTGAGTCAGTATAAAATCACAAATCGGTGAGAAGGGAGTGTGAGAGCTTCCAATTAGAGAGAGAGGGAGAGTCGACATTTTGGGGGTTTCGCATTCTCTGCATGGAGGAAGAGACGGGGAGGAAGAGGAGGATCGATGTCAGCAAGGTGCTGGATAGTCTCGACGACAGCGGCGATCCGCTTGAGAGGGTGGTTTTGCCGGAGTCAAAGCGGAAAGCTACGGCCGCGGAGGAGCAGCCGCCGAAGCAGTCCGGAATGGGGGGCGGTGATCAGCAGCGGGATTATTTATTCGAGGACATAGGCGATCGCGAGCTGGAGGAGAAGATTAAGCGGCAGAAGAGTAACATTGAGAAACTGAGCCGCAGCTTGCCGGACAAAGGCGAAAAGCTCCGGGTGGCTCTTATGCTGTTGGAGGACGAAAAGGAGCGGAGAAGATGCAGTCTGCTTGAAAAGGTGCGTTTTGCTTTTCTGTTCTGTTTGGTTTCTCACAAAATGGAGGCAAAATTGAATGCAAAGTTTTATTTTTTTTTTTGGGGGGGGGGGGGGGGTTTAATACTTCATTTCTAGTTTTATATTGATGTGCTTCATACCCTTTTCAGTCTGGCTGGAATTGCTGGAAATCAGAATTCTGAATGTTTATGTAGAAGTACTTCTCAGAAAAGTGCTTATCAAAATTGATTCTGAGTCTTCTGACTGTAGTTGCTTTGGTTTTCATTGAATAGAACACCAGTAGGTGGGAGGAGCTCGCACAAGCCACGAGCTGTAAAAACAGAAACATGGGTAAGCCCTTTCTTTCATCGATACGTTGTGTTAACTAAAAGGTTACACATTAATTGAACCGAATTTGCTACGGATTGTTTGCATGGTTAAGTACTGTGGTGTTGCAAATATCATTTTATATGTTTTGCGGTACTCGCGTTTAAGAAACTTAAATGTGGCTTCTAGATGATTCTACTGGCTTCAAAAATGAGACTGCAGCACCTCTGGCAAAGCCAAAGTCTGAATTTGCTTGCCATTTTGAACAAAAGATGGAAGAAAAGGTAATGCGATCCACCATATTCTTCTTTATTGTTTGAATAAGTAGCTTTTAAAATTTAAATATAATTGCTTCAGTCTATTCTTAATGCAGTCTGATTCTAGGACAGCCAGTGAAACTCAAACAGAATCATCTCTTCTTCCATGCAACCGGCAGAGCATGAAAAGCAATGGAAAGTTATTGCAAAAAGGAGGACGGAAAGGTCGATCTTCATCAAGATACGTACCTCGTCAATGCTCTAGCAGTTTTAATCATAAACAAGAAAAATGTTCTCCTTCAAATGGTGGTCATAAAGGCGGGGCTTCTTTCCCTTGTTCACTTCGCCACGTTGCAGAAGACTTGTCTAGTTGTGGCAGAAAGTAACGATCTTTTCTTTTACCTCATTCGCTTTCAGTGTATTATCTTCTATTGAAATTCTAACTACACTAGATAGCCTTAATGGCTAATACCCCTTTTATTTAATAACTTGCATTTCTCTCTTTTCCTTCTTTCCAGCTGGAATGATGCTTCTCAAATAAATGGTTCAAGGCATCAAAAGGTACAATGTCTTGTGTTTCATTCTACATTTTATCTAGGCACCTTCTTTTTAACTGGAAATGTTGGAATTAGTGAGAAGTTGTCTTGGTGGGTGAAACTTTTGCTACAATTAGATATATTTTAGTGTGATCATTGCCTTATGGGCTTTGTGTTTTTGTCCTGCCACAGTTTATATATCCTGTCACCTTCTCCATTTAGTAATTAAATCCATAGTTTCATGATTATAGCAGGGTCAGACAGTTGTAGAAATTCTGGATGAGGAGGATGCTGAACCTGCGGACACAGCAGAGCAAGAAGAAGAACTTCCCGAGGGGTACCTATAATTTAAAAAACTGTTGCTATTTTTTTTTTACCGTGTTTCAGGCTTAGCCAAATTTGAGGTTGATATTAACAATAATCTGTTTACCTTGTCTCTTTTTCCAGCATTAGCAAGGTTAAGATCTACTACCCATCAAGGTACAAAATCCCTTTTTGGAGATGATGCAAAGAGACCCCTTTGAATTTTGAGGATATAGAGCACAACTGATAATCATGTGGTTTTTTTTTTTTTTTTTGGTCTTATTCAGAAATGATCCAAAATCTGTAGAAATCTGTTATGCGGACATTGGGTGCCTTGATCCTGAAGGCTACTTGACATCAACTATCATGAACTTCTACATTCGGTAAGCTGTTTTAGATGTATCTGTAAATGCAGATTTATAGGTCACAATAACAGACATACATTCCTATCTTTTCTCATATCATATATGTGATGTTGCAATATCTTTTGACTAGATATCTACAACAACAAACATCCCCAACAGACAGAGCGTTACACAACTTTCATTTCTTTAATACATTTTTTTATGAGAAACTCAAGGAGGATGTAGCATATAAGGTAAGTATTTATCTTGTTCTACTTTCAGTGCTTGCTGTTTCTGTTCCAAAAATTGGGTTAGTAAAATTGGTAATCCATTTGTTTTAGAAACTCAGAATCCATTTTTTATGTGCTTAATGATCGGCCAATATGGTCGAGACTTTCAAAGTCTTTAGAGACGAAGGAAACTACTCATACCATATAATTTCTTTTACACTTTTAGAAAGTGAGTGGAGACATCTGGCCTAGATCTTGACTCAAAAGCTCTTATTCACAAGAATAGACAGTTTTTCTTGTGTATGATAAAATACTAATCATATTCCTATGATGTATACATATATATGTACATACACACACATATCAGTATATCATGCAATGGCTATATCATGCTCATTTTTCCTAGCTTGTTTCCCTTGTACCATGTAGGGGGACGACAAGGACTCAAAAGCTCTTATCAGTAGAATTAGGACAGCTTTTTTTGTGTATAACAAGAAGATAAAAACTACTCCTATTCCTATGATGTAATAACACTATATGATACGTACATCCACACAATTTAACTAGTGGATGATTGGTATATGGCAAAAACTTATCTCATGCTCATTTTTCCTAGCTTTGTTCCCTTGTACATGTAGGGGAGTACCAAGGATACAGCGCCTGGCAAGTTTAGAGATGTCGAGAATGGGTTTTTATATTTTTGAGAAGGGCCCTAAACCTGTTTCCTATAATGAGATGAAAGCTCTTTATTGTACTGCTACAGATTATTACCTATTGAGTAATGATGACTTGCGTATCGAAAGTGGCAGGAATCATTAAACAATCCGAAATACATAAGACTCTGTTCAGAAGATCCAAAGGCATATGTTTAGATTTCTACGTATGTCCTTTATTTTGAGAGAGTTGTGTTATAAAAGATAAGTGTAATAAAACTCGGACATTTCATATGAAACTTAACGCACTGGGAATTCAAACCAGGTGGCAGGAAGTGAAAGGCTTCTGTCTGGCAGGAGAGCCTCAGATATCCCCAAAATATTGCTTGAAGAAAAACTGCGGGATTTCCTGAGCGACCACGGAGCTTCCTTATGGTCCCATCGGCGAAATGAATATGATTGTGGTCTATTTGTCCTTTTCTTCATGGAGCGCTTCATCGAAGAGGCCCCTGAAAGGCTGAAAATGAAAGATTTGTCAATGGTATTGTGTTTCATCTGTTCTCAACCTTTCCGTCCTTAAAGAGAAAATAGAATGATCTCAAACATGTTTCTTCTGTTCTTGCGGGGCAACTTTGACTCCGTCCTTACCACGAGGTTGAATATAATCTTCATGGAACTATCAGTTTGCAGGTCGGTTTGAGTCTCAAAACCTGAAGCAGCTTCAAGTTTGAGAAAGAAAATCCGGAAGGAACTCAGGCAAGAATTTCGAGATGCATATTTTGTTAACCTCTCAAAAGAATCTGCTCCAGCGGTTGGTGCTTCTGAAGAATGAACCGGCATATGGGATACTGACTGAATCCGGTGCACAGATGTAGCAACTAACTCAGCTTTCAGGTTGGCTTCCCATGTACAGCTCAGAGGAATGGGTGTGATCTTTTGAGTTTAGCATTGTATAGCGAGGGAAAATCGGTTAAAATGCCATTTTTTCGAGAGCTAAGAAGATACCAGATTGGCCAGGACAAGGCGTGCATCATAGTCGTCTGCAGTACTGACCATTTCTGGTGAGTTAGCATGGTGCTTCAACTGTATAGTACGGAACAAAGATAGTGCTGATAGATTTCTTAATGCAATGCTCACCATTTTACACCTTATGCTTTTAAGAGATGCTTTTTCCTAAAGTGATTTCCTGCCATTTTCTTTAGGAGTGCTGAAGCAACGTGGTCGATTCATACCCACTTGTAGCATTTCACGCATGAGTAATAATTTTCACGTTCTTTCTTTCGGGAAGGGAGGATTAGAAAAATCTTATTGATTGCAGCTGTTTCCAAACCTCCGGGAAAAGCATGAAAAGAAAACTTATGATACGGTCCCTCTGTCACTTCAAAAGTGAAAGGAGCGATCTTGTAATTCTTGGTCTATGAAGTACATTGTTAGCTTCTCTGTGTTTGATTTTCCCATTGAGGCCAAACCTCCGCGGTGTGCACAAACATCTTTACTTCCAAACGGATTAGGATTCTCTTCCCTCTTCTTTCCATCCCCTTCCATTCTCACCTCTCACATTCTCTATTTTGTCTCTCTTTTTCTATAAAAAATTAATATAAAATGTTGACATGGTTTAATCATGACCGATGAAATATGAGAGTAGGGACGGGGAGGGAAAAAAAAGAGAAGAGAATCTTATTTCCGAACAATAGTGCTGGAGAGTTGAAAGGGGGGACAAGCAATCTATTCGAACGATAATGCTGGACATTTATGTCTACTTTTCCACCTTTATGTCAATATTATTTAAAGTGATTCCAGTGGATTTTCAACTTTTAATTAAAGTGTTAAAAAATGTGTAGTGTTTTACAACTTTGTATGTCAACATTACCCGCAGCCGTCTTCGCACTTCCAAACAAGGTTCTAAAAGATGCTAGACGCTAATCGGATGGCTAGGCAGGCACGCTTAGGTGGATTAGGTAGATTTAAATAAATTCATTATATTTTGTGTAAATAAGTGTTTGTTTATACTTAAAATATATATAATTTCATCATAAACTACAAAATAGAATGATATATGTATTATAAAGTATTGGAACATAATGAAAATATGGGGAACAAGCATATAGTGTGTGCTCATTTAAGTATTCAACAAGTCTCTTACAATTTATTGAAAAAAATTAAAAGCAAATTGAAAGATATATTTTCTATCTATGTGAGTCGTAACCTAGGCAAGTGCCTAGATAGGTCTGGCCGGGCTAGGCGGGCGCCTCAATTGGTCTAGGCGTCATTTCTTAATTTTCAAACGCCTAGGCATTAATCGAACCGGTGATTAGCCGCCTAGCGCCTAGGCGGTGCTAGGCAGAGATTTTTAGAACAGTGCTTCCAAACTCTGCTGGTTTCACATTTAATTTACACATCTAAGCAAAAATTGTTAGATTCCGTTAAATCAAATAATTTAATAGCTTTTGATCGAATGTGTAACTTCAAAGTGACCATCTAACGGACAAATGTATGCATGTGAATATTTATGTTTAGTACAATCACCTTTTTATCGTCATGATTATGACTATATTAATACGTGTAAGTATTATAGCCAAGTGAATGAATTAACGGAGGAAATTGTGTTGGACCCACCAATAATATCATTGATGTACAGCAAAAAATAATTTGGTGAGGTAGGTAGTTGAGATTAGGATATGTTTTAAAAATAACACATTTATATGGAATTTAAACTTAAAAATTAGAGATCTCAAATTCCAAGTTAAATTTTCTCTGTTTATAAACCCAAACACGAAATAGTTGTAGAATGTGAGTGACGAATCAACAATTCCTCATATCCCACTCCAATGCAGGATAAATCTAAGGGATAGTTGCAGAATTTAAGTAGCGGATTAACGATCAGTCGTATCAAACAGATCTGTTACCTTCATGTAATTAGTTCCTCATTAGATAATTTGTGGATGAAAATGCAAAACCAAAGTCGAATATTTTCTACCTGCCACTGACATTTCAACGTGTGGGACATGTATTGCACCATATAGTGGAAGGTGCAGTTTTTGCTACAAGATTATATGCAAGCAGAGGAGGACTATCACTGGCTGTCAACTTCTCAAAGTCTTGATAAAATACAAGTACATAAACATTTGCAAAAACGTTACTCCTGTAGAACTTCTCAAATTCTTCAAAACTACAAGAACAGATTCAACAAAACGCCGAAAAATTTGTATTACAAGTACATATGGTGATTGTAGTAAGATAAAGATGTAGGCAGAGTTTGTGCTGCAATCTTTATACGTAACCTTAAGTCCGGCAATCCCCAAGATGGGTACATCCGATGATAACGGCACCATACCCCCCACATATGGAACAGAAAAGGGTACATCAAGTTACCGTCCCTCATCCAAACCGAAGTGGAATGCAGCTAGTCCCTGCAAACCACACGAAAAGATTAATCAGACTTCGTATATTCTAGGAGAGTGCAAGGTATGGAAAATTTAGTCAACTGATACACATGCGTGTAAAGCAACTGCAACATCTCTTAACGAACAATGAAACCAATGAATCAATTGCGGGATGGAACCTACTGTCGTTAAAATCAATCGCATAACTAATTTTGATGGCTCAAACTAAACTACCAAACATGAGAAGTGACGAGCTTGTTTTAAGCGATATAATGCACGACAAAGAAACATATTCCATAGCACAATTAGTAGCATTTATCCATTTAAGGTTTGATAAAATAAAGTCAGCACATTGACTTTATTTCGATGTTTTTCAAAATAAAGGTAAAACACATGCATGCACAGAGAGAACTTTTGAATTTTGACATTATAGCACAAACAGGGAAAGACAGAATGATTCGAAATAAAGGAACAGGGTGGAGGGGGATTTCTCCCATCCTCAAAACTTATATTTTTCTAAAACAAAATTATTGCTTCACATTCCTGCCTTAAAAGAAAAAAAATTCCTGCTCCACCCTATATCCGTGTCGTGGGTGGAGGAAAAGAAGCTTCTTCCAGAGAGAAAGCAACACATCTCAAGTCTGAATCCTGCATTTATAGTTCGCAAACATAGAGGCTAGATGCGAACAAGGTCAAGTTTGGTATCCTGAAATTGCTACATACACAAAATATACAGAGCATCGCATTACATCAATACACCCTACTTAGCTACCAGATATATCGAGCATCAAAAGTTGGCATTACGAATTCATGGCATGATTTTTTGCAGACATGAATGCATATAGGCACATCGGTTAAAACAACTAATTAAACTAATAGACACATAAATCAGAAAACCAAGTATTGCACGTATGAATGATTACAAAGCGGCCTAAAGTGTTACAAAATGAAACTTTACTTACCAGTACTTAATCAAGCCATCCCAGCCGCATGTTGCAACTTTACTTTGCTCCAAGGGATGCCATGCAGCCCCAATGCATACCCCTTCATGACATTTGAGAGTTCTGAAGACTTTGCATGTCTTCCAATCCCAAAACCAGCATCTACCTTCACCATCACCCGACATAACAAACCGTCCGTCTGGCGAGAAATTGACTTGGCAAGCATACCCGGCGACAACATGCCCGGCAAACCTCTTCTTCTTATTGAGCTGAAACTTCTCCCTAGTGCTATAAATCAGAATCTGATTGTCCATACTCTGTGCTGCAAGCCAATGGAATTGGGGTGCAGTGAAATTGATGGCATAGAATGCATATGAGGCTCACTAATATACTTAATAACCACAGGGATCCCAAACTCCCATACGCGAAGCGACTTGTCATCGCTGGAAGTAACAAACCTACGGTTATTATCCACAAATGTAATCGTATTCACAGCACCCAAATGCTGATCATACTCTTGATTTATCTTCCCCTCATTCATATCCCACTGAACAATCTTCTTATCACTCATACCTGCCAACAATACATTCTGCTTATCCTCGTCTGGATTCAGCTTGACAACATAAGGAACCTTCCCGGTTGAGAATGTAGATATCACCTGCCCAGTTTCAGTATCCCAGTACTTGATATTCTTATCATAACTAGCAGTCAAAAACCTACTCCCATCATTAGAGAAACAAATATCCCGAACTGCCTTAGAGTGACCCATGTAAGTTCTCATACACTTTCCGGTATTGAAAACATCCCAAATCTTCACCTTGGTATCCATCCCGGCAGAGAGAATCAAATGCCCGTACTTAGGGAAGAACCTAATAGCAGACACACCCTTCGTGTGCCCGCTCCAAGTGTGCACCAACCTCTTTGGAATATAACAGTGATCATTAGACGCCTTAGCATCTCTCGGCGGTGCAATCCAAGACCTACCCTGATAATCCCTCTCTTCCTTCCCATGAAACGTAGTCTTCTCAACCACAGCCTCACCCTTATCGCCAGCCCCTTTCTCTTCGCCTTTCTTCTTGGCATACTCCTCAGCATACTTCTTCTGCTCCTCAGTCAGCTCCGTTGGCAGACCCTCCTTCTTTCCCGCCCACGGACTCTTCTTATTCTTCATCAACCACACGTCACTAGCCGGGTTCTGGACCTCCTCGGGGTCCATATCTTCATCCTCACCCTCACCCTCATTCTCCTCCAATTCCTTCCTCTTTTCAATCTTCCGCTTCTTCTGCTCGTGCTGGGGAATGTTATACACAGAGACGGCGTCGTTCTTCTGCAAGGCCTCGAAATCTCCAACATAATTGTACCCAGCAGAGGCCGATGGATCAGCAGCATACCCATACTTGTGAAAAGTATTGTACTGCTCGTCGAACACGAAGGGCTCAATCGATGCGTCCTCCACGAAGCCGAGCTTGTGGTTGCGCATCCCCTGGGCGATGCCGTCCTTGGCGTACGGGTGGGATGGGCCGTAGATGGGCGCCCATAGCTGGTCGTACGTGGGGTTGAAGCCGACGATGTGTTGGGTCGGGTCGATGGGGCGGGTGGAAGACCGGTTGGCCCCGGCTACCGCCAGGGCCAGCATAGTGTCGTCGACATTGGGCGCCGCGGACTTGGCGGGGAGGAGCCGAGGCGGCGACGCGTCTGGGGAGGACGGTGCGGATTTAGGGTTTTGGTTGTGCTCCTCTGGCTCGTTCGTTTCGTCGTCGTTTTGATCAGAGTATGCTCGGAGAAGATCCATTCATAGAAACAAAGACGAACCCTAAGTCCTAAATTTGGTCCCTGTGCTGAAAAATTGAGACTTTATACATTAAATTTGAAATTGGAAATCGAACGAAAAGAAACCGGAAGAGAGGGATTGGATGGGAAATAAAAAAATTAGATTGGGATCGAGAAAGATACTTACCGGCGGCTTGGAGAAGGAAGACGGCAGTCGCGAGGGTGGGCACAGGAGGATTCTTGGCGGGGTTGAGGTTTTGGAATAAATTGGGGTTTTCCAGGGGTTTCGATTTGCGTTCGAACTCCGAAGAGGGAAAGAAAACCGACTAGACGCTGGATGGGAGAAGGGTAGTAGGAATCCGGATTCTCTTTGTGAATCATATCTATTTATCGTACATTATGCTATTAAAAATTATTTTAAATATTTTTATTTAAAATTAAATACAAACAAAAATTATATGATGTACGATAAATGAATACAATTTACGAATCTCTAAGATTCTTATAAAAAAGATCCGAAGAGGATCTGTTAATGGATGAGGATTCCATTCAGATCTAAATGATAGGATTCTAAAGATTCTCACATCTTAGCTATTCATCATATATCGTACAGTCAATTTTTGTCGGAGACTATTTATGTTTAATTTTAAATAATAAAATTCAAATGATTTTTGATCGCACGATATATGATAAACAGTTAGGATGTGAAGATCTATATGATCCCCACCATTTGGATCCGGAAGAATCCTCATCCCTGTTGGGGATAGTAGGGGTGTCATTTCGAGAAACTTGTGAGGGTATTATTGGTATTTTAAATTTATTCCTTTTTATTTCTTTTTTGGAGTTCTGACTTGTGTAGTAGAATTAGGGACTTGGATTGTCTGCCCTTCCATTTCGATGCCCTCCTCGTACCCTTCTGTTTTGTGTGGTCACGGTTAAGCCACGTCAATATTTTATATTATTTTTTTATAAAAATAATAAAACAAAAAGAAATAGTAATATAAAATGTTGACGTGGCTTAACCATGATCACAAAAACAGGAGGGCACAGGGAGGGCACCAAAATTAGAGGGCAGACAATCCAAGTCCGTTTTTTTGTGTATGTGGGATAGTCTATATTGAATCACTACACCCTATGCTATCACCATTACATGCAAGAAAACATATGCAAATAAGATATTTCAATTCAACAAATGCAACAGAAGAAAGAATCCCCAAATAATGTTACTAACGCAAACACTAGCAATGCCAACACTTCAAGGATTCTTCACTTTGATCCTCAACTTTCGAGCCAACTGGGCTGCTTTCGGATGCACAGGCCGCTTGCTGCTGTCACACTGTTCTACTTCCACCCAATTAATCAATCTGAGAATGACGGATTGAGGCACTTTTCGGATATCTTTATCCGTTGTCGTGCCTTTTGTTTTCTTCATCCCCGTCTCCAATGCCATCTCAATAAACTCCATAAACCAGTTCCCAGCTTCCGTTTCGATCTGCTTACTCAACCTGATTGTGTTGCTTAAGCTGCTTATACTAGCAGAAGCCGGCTTCTTGTTTTCGTCGTTCTCACCAATGGTTTCAAGACTCAGCTTTCCAAGCGGAGTGGATGGTGCTTTCGGCTTTTGATGAGTAGAGCTTCTCAGGAGCTTCTCGAACGTTGTTGTTTTCTGCTCGCTTCTTTCAGGAACGGCTGCAACTGATTTGTACAATGCGCACCTTCTTTTCGACAAGTTTAGTTTAGAGTCCACGGAGTTTTGAACAATTTCATGCAGGACGGAAAATTCTTCATCATCTTGATCTTTATCTTTATGCTGCTTAACTTTTGGAGTGGTCTGAGTAATTTCAGAAGCTGAAGTAGCCGCTAGTATCGACACCATATCGTTTACTGATTGGACAATTTGGTGATGGAATTCGAGGAATTTATCAAAGCAGGCTGATGGGGCATCTGCTCTAGCTGTTCTGCACAAGTTTGAAAACATCCTGCACAAGCAAGCATTGGTATTGATCTTAGCAAACAAATATCTCGAGGTTCAATTTTTCACTACTATATAAGAAAAAGGAGGGGATTCGCTTTACTTGAGAGATCGAACTAAGGTATCCGTAGCTGAAGCCTCTCTGAGTGCATTAAGGGCAATCTTCTGAGCAGAATCTCTATGCTGCACAGCTTCCTGCATAAATACAATCTCATCTCAAGAGTCAAAACCCAAAAAAAATTGGTTTCGGTCGTAAACTAGAACTAGAAGCAACACTTGGAGATGAAAGTACTTACTTTGCCAAGCAAGCTGAGCCTTCCTGGTAAATTCATGGGGAGGATAGTGCTGTTTTCGTTGCACACATTACCAGGCTGCGGCTGCTGCTGAGAATTCGTATTTGTCTCCTTCAAGTTGGAGGATTTCTGTGCTGCATCTCCAGCCACATTGAGTGAAGTTGCCACTCTTGCATTTCGTAATCGCGGTGGTGGAGTCGAGCTCTTCTTTTTTTCCTACAACAAAGCAAGAATTCGCTTTCTCAGCCAACAAATACAACAGTCTTCAACAAACAAAATCAAACATTCTTCCACAAACAAAAGTTCTACTAACTAGAAAAATCAATCTGTGCAGCTCAGAAAAATATGCTAAAGAGGAACAATGTACCTACAGCTGAGTTGAAGGGGCTAATTGGGATCCTTGGCTCTCGATCAGACACACTTCTGCTTCTCTGAAACTTCGACATAGATGGCGTGACACAGCTCTTTCTCAACGCAGGGCTTTCACCTCCCTTCGAATCTGCCATCTTAGCCAGAAGTCCACCACCAAATGAACTCCGAATCCCCGAAGTCAACCCTCCGTCTCTTCCCACTCTCCCCCTAATCATTGGAGACATCGACCCGTTTCGCCCGCCTCGCTCTTTAACAGGAGTGCACTGATCGAAATCCAAAGGAACAGGCTTTAACACCATGGGAGACGAAACCCCATCAGCTCCATTAAGCCCTGTTCCCCAAGACCCCCTTCTAGTGGGCTTCAAATTCGACATTTGTTCGCTTTTCTCTCCCTTCTCCCTCAGCCCCATCAACGGCTCCGGGGTACCCATCAGAGGATGCCTGCCGGGGAGCGGTTTGGCTCCCTTCACCACCGGCACCGGAGACCCAGGCTCCAATCCATCGACATATATAAACTGACCCAACTGCATTTTATTACTGAGAACAAAGTCATTGTGCTCCGGAGGAAGGCTGGCGTAAATTGAGTGGGAAGAATCGGAAATTTTGATGTAGAAGCCCTGTGTGGGCCAAAGGCTCTTCTCATCGAGGTCCACCGGGACGATGTCGGTGACCTGCAGAAGCGCGCTCCGGTACTCGCCCGTGGGCTTGACCCCTGTGTTCATTCCGTCCACGAGCTTGAGTAGAATTCCCGGTGCCAAAGCTGCCATTTTTCGCCTTTTCGAGGTTGTTGAATTGGGGAAGATGACGATCGCAGTCGAAGATTCAGGTCGCAATTTTGTCGGAAAATCAAGCAAATTTGAGTGGGAAATCGACCGAGTTTGTTGAGTTGAAGACAGTTCTTAACTCGTCGAAGGGTTTGGGGATAAGAAGTAGGTGAGGTTTAAGCTGACCGTTGGCAACGGGAACTATCTGTGCCAAAAGGTTACTTTTTAAAAATTCGGAGATTTTCGAACGTTGGGCCAACGGTCAGATTTTGCTGGTGCGTCACGTAATCTTTTTCAAAATGGAAAGGGAAGTGTATTTTTCTACCCTTTTTATAAGTGTATTTTTTTTTTCCAAATATAAAAGATTCAGAGTGTAGAATGAAATTTTTAAAATACTAATAACAATTCCCAATAAAAAATATCCCGACTTGCTCGTTTCATTGATCCCAAAAAGGGGTAAGGGAGTTGTTTATTTTATTAATTTGGTATGAAGTTTTATTGTGCTCAAACCAGTTTGATCTACCAATTAAACCAGATTCACAATAACAACGGGAGTTTTAACGAAAAGTCCGTGGTACTGTTCACTTTAACGAAAAACCACATTTTTACACTAAAAAGTCATAGTACTATTCACTTTACCCTTCATTTTGTGTTTATCGTTAAAACTCAAAGTTTTCAAGCTCTTTTCATTAGTTTTCCTATTATAAGATTCCAAAATTACGCAATGTGGCTTTGACAGGTCCTGCAATTTCTTCTACAACCTGTTAATTGGACACAAATTGACAAAAAAATAACACTTTCCAAGTCAACTTGTTAACGAGCCGGATCCAACATGAACACAATCCGTTTGCCGGGTTTAAACATTAAGCATGACAATTTCTTACATGATCCATTAATCCAACACGGATTGTCACGACCCATTAACTAGTAGGCTCCTGTAAATTTTTTTTTCTTTTTTTCTTTTTTGATCCAGGCTCCTGTAAAGTTAATACTACAAAGTTTACAATACTTTCCCACTACAGAAAACGAAAACTGAAATCTAGCAATGAAATGGTTATCAAACTAACTCTTTTAAGTTAATCGACCCTGTCAATAATGTATTGCAAACTTTATCGCCAATAAAACCGATAAGCATAACAGCCATTTTACCAATTGTTTCAAAAACAACAGTAAGCTAGTCGCAGATTTGTACCAAGATATTCCCGATCTCTTGTTTTCAAAATTTCTAACGAGGACATGAAGAATGTCAGGTCACCATAACTAAGGTCTGAAAAACATCGAGAAAGAATGAAACGATAATCTACTTTTTGAAGTTACATTAAAGTTCAATTGCAATCAGAAACAAACTCTTGTATTCATGATCCCGCGTGTACCCAGAAACAGCAGCTCAGTGGCCATGCTATAGTGGAGTTGCAAAACCTGCACCCAGTTACATATATACAAGGTGAGAAAATGAAGGAAGCCTGGAGGACATAGAGTCATGCTTCAGTAACGAAACTCTCTGATCGCAATCACCCATCAGTAACGAAACCATTATTAACAGGAAATATGGGAGAGTGGCGGTTTAGGTACCAAATGTCATGTTATGATTGGTGGGGGGTTCAAATAGCCATTGTTATCCTTCGTTGAGAGTAACCTGAGTTAATTGTTAGTTGAATCGGTTAATTATGGTTAAGTGTTTGTTAGATCTGGGGTTAGTCGTTGGATTTGTTAGTGGCTTATAAGCCATGTTCTCTGTTTTAGAAAGGTTGTTGAGTATTGCAATCATCTTCTTCTCTGTTTTAGGGTTAAGGTTGATTTGGGATTTATTAGCGACCAGAGTTACCAAATTAAAAGATGAGTTGCCACATTAATAGAACCCTTAGTTAATTTGGTATGTATTACAATTAACAAAAGCATCGAAGTACGTCTGATATAAGGATGTCTAGGAAAATAAAGTTCCAACAAGTTTTCATGGACAACATTCAAAAACCATGAAAAACAGCAAAAATTATATATATAATACACTTGGCATGTCATTCTACCTATACATAATAGAACGAATTCCAGAGTCGAGATGTTTCTCCCCCTTCCTTCACCATGTCACAAGAATATGTATGAAGAATACTATGAACAATGCATTCAGCTACTTATTTTCGTATGCAACTTAGCCATCTGTATCAGATATAAGAAATGCTATTACTCAGTGTTGAGATTATGAATCCCAACAATATTGATGCTGGCTAACGTTCTCATGGAAAAATAAACGACAGAGTAACCAATGAGGTCATATTTTATAGAATAGCCCTTGGTACCGTAAAATACAATACCATCCGACCACTATGAAAAAGCATGAGACATATAATTTGGAAACACACTGCGACCCCTTAAAAACTAGGTGCAGCATCAAACATCAGTAGACCGCAGGTCCAACTCAACTCACTTGAAAAACAGGTAATAAGAGAAATCTCATATCTTACACCCTCTTCTGCAGTAAAAATACCTTTCCCTTCATGGCATGGTAACAACCATTTAAAAAAGGTAAAGGTCGTACCCAGTGCACAAGGCTCCCGCTTTACGCAGGGTCTGGGAGAGGTGAATGTCGGCTAGCCTTACCCCCATTTATGGAGAGGCTGCTCCCAAGTCTCGAACTCGAGACCTACTGCTCATGGGCGAAGGCACTTGCCATCGCACCAAGTGCGAGTAATAAATCAAAAGTCACATTCACGATGTTCCAACATAAAACGCCTATTCATTTTCAGAGAGTACAACTCACTAACAACACTATCGAAGAGAGACATGCTATGGATTCTCGGAAATGATAAATGATAATATGCAACGACATTCAAAAACATATGACACTTACATAATCCACTGTATGAAAACCAACGAAAAATTCCGAAGAGTACCTTCTGATAGGCACCCCCAGCTGGTATTATGCAAAGAAAGAAGCGACGTGAACAATGCAGAAGCAGTAGCACTGTGCAACGGGATCAATGACTGCGCACCGCCTAACTCCACCGGAAGCCTGAAAGTGAAAAACACAAATCCTCTAAAGCCTCCCAACACAGTTTAAATTTAATACCAACCACTCACCACAACAATAACAAGTTCATGAATTGAACACAAACGGTGTTTTCTCAAATCATATTGACTATAAATTTAGTAACAAATTCATCTGTTGTCCTAACAATGCTCGAAATTTCAGTAAAATGAAGAACATAAAAAACTAATCATACAACCGAAATTAATAAAATAAAAAACCCGTATGCACAAAGACCCAAAATTCAGTTTTCCAATTGAATTTTTTCAATCAATTGCCAAACAAATTTAAAGTTCCAAAAATAAAAACCGAACCTTGAGAACTTGAGCTTCTGGGCAGCGAGTCGAGGAGCAGAAGCAGGCTTGAGGGAAGTGAATTCGGTCAGCTTAGAAGCATTGGAGGCGAAAGGTGAAGACGGTGGACGGGACAGAATGGTTTTTGCAGAAGCTGAAGAGAATTGTAGGGTTCGCCTCGCGCAGTTAGCCGCCATGTCTGTTTCCCTCGACTCTTTTCCAAAGCTCAAAGCTTTGATCCTGGACTCCCAGTCAAAGAATTGTTTGTGGGCTGAGTCTGACAACATATATGGACCACATGCCTATTGGCCCAATATTTTAAAGCCTGAGTGGGTGAGCCCATGGGCTTCTTATTAACTTAAATAATTGGCAAAACTGGATCCTGAAATTCAATATATCTTTCCATTTTCACGCCCTTTCATATGTAATGTTAAACCACAAATACCTAATAAACATTTTTTTTTCATTAGAAAAGGGAGTAGTGGTGACTTTGCCACAGTAGTTCACCCTTCTAGAAGCTAGGAGGACTCACATAAACGTATCGTTTTTGTCATGAATACTGTGTATCATGTGGTTTGCCACAAATATTTAGTTGGGCCACTAACGTGTATTACTTGTAAGTACTTAATTAAGTTCGTTTTTAATGTAAAATAGGGGAATTTGGGCTTAACTTCCAAGTAAACCCTAAGCCTGTAATATTCTCAAATTAGCTATTGCAGGCCGAAGAGGGTTCGCTAGGTTGGTAAGGTCCTGCTGTGTGTGTCACCTCACCATGGTTCAAAACTTCAAGTCATGCCGTTAGTTCTCGTTTGTGCGCGATCTGTAAATTTCTATGTAAATTCATACTGGTGGCAAATAACAGCTAGATGCCACGCATAAGTTCTTCCGGCAATGCCGTTGGTGGTGAAAGTAACCAATCTCTCCCTAAACTTGTTTTTACCAAAAAAAATAGCTATTGCAGTATGCCTCATGGCGCACAAATTTGAATACCCTATCGTAAATTATCACAGTTTAAAGTTTAAATCTCGTCTTGTCAAAAAAGTTATCTCATTGTTGAAAGTTTGGAACTATAAACAGTAAACCATTCATTTGGTAAACACCATGTTAATTGTTATAGCCAAAATACTTGAATAAAAGCATGATTTGATCAAGGTAGGTCATTTTCATCTATGGTGATGTTATTGGCCAAACCCTTCCAATTCGAACTTGATTGCACATTAAGCACTATGCTTAACGTTAATGATATCCTCATTTTGAAACACGTAGCTGTTTTAATCTGAAAAGCATGTCATCATGAAAAAAAAGAAATAAATTAACGTTAAACTATGAGATGATAGAGAATTTATGAAAAATCCTATTTTTAAGAGAATCTCATTGACACTTCTCTAACAACTAAATATTTGAATAATTTTAAGCTTTTAAACATTGTTTATAATTAATTTTATATCCTCATCTACTCATCTGGAAATTGCAATGCCTCTTGGATAAGGAGACACCATGATTTCATTTGCTTTTGCAAATAGAAGCTAATCCTAATTGAATTATATTAGTGTTGTTAAGTATACATACAATCATAAATTTGTTGACCACCCTTTTACCCATTTGATCAACAATCGAATTAACATATATACTTGGAGTTGGGAAAAACATACCATTTTAGGATTGTCTTTTGACTGTGAGCAAGTAAAATATCGGCTACAAAAATCTCTCTTTCTTTTTAAAAAATAGAATATCGTTGTCTTTAAAAGAAAAACAAATATTATTTTTTGCGAGTATCCACATTAAGGGATAGAATTTTAGCATAAGAGCTTAAAGATGTTTTGCCAATCCATCTATTGTCACTAAATATGTTCACAATTTATATTTTGTTTTGTAGCAAGCTATTTACATGCAAAGTCTCATGAGCGAAAAAATTCTATTAAAGAAAATTGTTGTAATAAAAATGATTAGAAGCCATAGATGAACGTTTTACTTAATTTAAGATGTTGTCTAGACATTCAGTCTCAAGAATTTTTTTTCATAAAGGGGAATAGTGAGAATATATGACATAGAGGGATAAAAATTTAGTATAAAAGCTTAAAATATATCGAACCTCTTCATCTTTAGCAATTGATTTGTAATTATTTAAAGCCAACAAGGCTCTCTGCTTTGCAAGAGTCAGGACGTCTATCGGACGCAATTTACTCTTGATTCGCATTCTGATATATTCTTGAGCTAGGGTTTGCAGCGTCAGCTGCTTTGCCTTCCAGACAAGAACAATATTTTATCGAAATTGAAATTAATATATGTAAAGCCAGTCATCACAATTGGATACCAGAGAGAGAGTTATTTTGGGGGTGGGGGGAGGAGTCTGCTACATGCAGTTAGCTAGTTGCATTTAATCCGCTCCGGGTCCTGAGAATCTGCTGAGACTGACCCAACAACTCAAAAGCCATAAAAGCAGTTTTCACCCTGCAACAACTTCTCTCACACTTCAAAGCACTGTTGCAGGACCCTAGCAGCAACGTGATCTTTACCCATCACCATCCTGCAGCATTTTGCGTTTACGCAACAAAAAAAATATTTCTGTTATGAGTTTTGAGGAAAGACGTCTGCAACTACAAATTACACAGTTCCGATCATTGAAACACAATGTAGAATAGATCTTACAAGAGTGTACGTATATTGTAAGTGAAAAAGAGGGAAAAAGGGAAGATAATAGGGATTTTTCGGTATATGATAAATAATCAAAATACGATTAAAAAATCACAAAGAAATACTCTGCAGTACTATTAAATTTTCTTCACCATGTGTGTTGGAAATTTATGACAGGCAGAGAGTGGTTGGTCTGATATCATGGCCAAAAACTGGGCATTGGTTTTATGATATGGTGGGAAAGGAAATGCAGAGCTTCCTCCCTAAACCTAAAGGACTCTTGCTTCATATCATAGCTACCAAATGTATGGCAAGTAGTGATGGTCTTGGTTTGTCTTTGTCTGTGGTCCACCTATATACTAGCACCAGCAGCTAGGTAGTTGAGAAAATCCCATCCTCCTCCTTTAAAGCTCTTATATGTATAAACCCTAATCGATGGAACCCAAGAACCGCACTTTTTGTGCATGCATGGAAACTGAAAAGCACATCGGCCGGGTAGTTATCATTTTTCTAGAAAAATTAAATGATGTGTCACCAATAAAAATGAACGCGTTTATCAACGTTTAAGTAATAAACCAATTATCAACTTTCATATATTTTAGTTTCGAAAACTTTGTCTACAAATTTAATCTCCCTAGCATTTTACCCGAGAATTGCAATCTAAACAGATTGTTTGACAAGTCTAGATGATTTTTTTATATTTTTAAACGCTTAAAAATTAATTATGGTAGTAATCAGCCGACTAACGCCTAAACAACACTAGACGAAAACTTTTAGAACACCATCCGCAAAAACGTTCATGAATTTTAATTTCCTTAATACAGTTAACTGTGCACGGATTTGAAAGATATATTCATACATTATCGACAATGATGATACGTTGTCAATAACATCGACAATGATGATATCCAATTCAAGCCAAATGACTGATTTGACATGTTTGAAAATGAATAGCCATTTATGATTCAAACTTCAGGATCCAAAGTTATGATTCAAACTTCAGGATCCAAAGTGAATTATGGATGTGATATTTTCGTCTTGGATATTTTGTAAAAAATAGGACGCGTTTAGAAAGTTTTAAATTATATTTTATAAATTATATAATGTTATTATTGATAATTGAATTATTAAATAGTAATTAATGTGTTTAATTTTTATTAATAATACATTACATTGTTTGTAAATTTAGTCTAAAAACTTTGGGTGCATTTCAATTGATAATTAAATTATTATTTAACATTAATTAATATGCTTAATTTTAGTTAATGTCACATCATACTATTTACAAATTTAATATGTGACGTTAATCTAACTAACATTATCATATTGTCCACTTCTAAATTCTAATTGATCTTGAAACTTGATAAAGTATATCTGCCACACTTTCGCTTTCTATCATATGAAGAGTTGTTTGTCCAAAAAAAAAAAAAATCATATGAAGAGTTGTTGCGCATCAACGTCAACATTACACATTTAACGATTTTTCTAACCTAATTTCAAATGGGTAATGATTCAATATTTATATAAAATTAAAGGCCTTCATCCTAAATATATAGCAGTCAATATTAAACGGCATACCTTTTTTTAGGAATTTTTAACAAAAAACTCATGGTACTGTTTACTTTAGCGAAAAATCATATTTTTACACTAAAAAGTCAATCTTGGTAATATTCACTTTATCATTTATTTTGTCTTTATCATTAAAACTTAACTATTTAGAAATATATCAGTGATATATTTTTGTTCTAGATTTAATCAGTGATATATTTTTATTAATTAAGTATAAGTCAATGATAAATGCTACATGAACTTTAAGGCATTATCAATAGTCAAAATTTTACCCTTCTCTCCTTCTTTCTCATTTTTTTCAAAAAAATTGTGACTACATGCTGCCCAACCTTTCTCCTCCAGCCCACAACCAACCGTTAAGCAGATTTGCGAAATATGCAATCAAGACGTCCACGTGTGCTCCGCCTTCCCCCGCCAAGACACCACATCAATCTCTCTCAACCTGCTTCCACTCCCAATCCAACAACTTGTTCCTGGTGGGACTCTTTGATGACGCCACACCACCACCACCACCTGCAAGAGAAAAAAACTCGAAATAAAATCCAAACAGCTCTAATTTCAATACATACGCCTCGCTGCCGCCATCTTTCACCTGCAAGGCGTAGTGACGAGGAACTGTGGGGATGAATTTGGGGTTGAATTTTATGGTTTTGATGTTTTCTTTTTTTGGGTTTGAAATCTTTTTGCATTTTGATTAATTTGATGGGTTCTATCTCCTTTTGTTCTATGATATGAAATTTATAGTTTTTTTTTAAGAAGTAATTTTATGGGTTGAGAGAGACTCCATGAAATGTGGAAAAGATTTCAGCAAAAATAAGAGAACCAAGAACGAATACTGCAATGCAGCGTCTAAGTAGAAATGTAAAAACATAACCAGGAAAACTGCATTGCAGTGTCTAAATCAAAACGTAAAAAAGGAAAAAAAAAAATAGAACTAGGAAACGGACACTATGTTGTAGCGTCTGAATCAAAATGTAAAAAATAAAAATAAAAAAATAAAAAAAAACCAAGGAATAGGCACTGCGTTGTAGTTTCTAAATCAAAATGTAATACAAGAAAAACAGGACATGGAAATGAACACTGCATTGTAGTGTCTGAATCTAAACGTAAAAATAAATGGTCGCTCGAAGAATGAAGGATAGGAGTGTGAGTGATGGAAAAAAAGGGAACTAGGAAATGGACACTGCCATGCAGTGTCTAAGAAATGAGGTGTTAGTTGAAGTGGGTGCCAGATGTAATGACAGATTCTGTAATTTTTATTTATTTTATATGCATTTAAGTGTCATAATACATGATTTACCTATTTGTAATTAACAGAAATATTGTTGATCTATTATCAATATGGTAACTTTGTATTGATTTTATACAAAATTGATAATTTAGCCTAATAAAGTTAGAAACTTGCGTTGCATGCTTTTCCTATTAATTTATATATGCAAAACTAATTATATAATAGGAAAACTAATGAAAAGAGCTTGAAAACTTTGAGTTTTAACGATAAGAACAAAATAAAGGGTAAAGTGAATAGTACCAAGATTGACTTTTTAGTGTAAAAATGGATTTTTCGTTAAAGTGAACAGTACTAGGAGTTTTTCATTAGAGTTCCCATTATATAATAATATCATTTTTTTTACGAATAATGTCAAATTAATTAATCATACAATGTACATATAAAACAAAATATGAAATAAATTTCCCAAAAAGGTTAAAAACAAACATTAAAAAAATAGATACATACGTATTACGCACACGTAGTTGTGTTTTGTATGCAGCCTTCCCAAGTTTTCTATACATGCTTGCTCATCCAGTAATTTTGTTGGGGGTTAAATTGTGAAGGATTTTTATTCAAAATGGTTAATGAAATTTGCATAATTTTCAATGGTTTTTGAATTTTTTTCTAGTAAATCATTTTGGTCATTCAGTGTAAAATCTATTAATATCCTCGTTAAATTATAACTTGAAGAATGACATACGTGACCACTTTTTAAAGGTATTTTTGTCAAAACAACTCTTACTGATAAATTTTTCACAAATAACTAAAATAATTTACAAAACACAAATTTAAAGACCACTTCTATTAATTTTCAAGGTCAGAGACAAAAATAAGGATTGGCGTAACCCTTATGGACTCTTCCGCATAAACAAAAGAAAGGACGGTGCCTCCAACAACAGCTGTCCCTCATAGGTCATAAGCCCTTCTCATTCCCAGAATTTGCAACATAGCAGAAACCGTGTGGCCCTTTGGACCACCTCATCTTTTACCCACACGGCCGAATTGGCCTCCGCCTTTCGTTATATATATATTCGTACGCCTAACACATTTTGCACGCCAATGGCTAGCACTGCATTGCCACTTCGTTTTCAAACCCATCGCATTTTAGCCATCTGCACTTTAAATTAAATATTTCGTAATTACCTGCAATAAGACGAGTAGCTACGATCTTTGGCATTTTTCTCTACACTCCCACTTAATTATACGCATTCTTTTTTGCTCCTGAAGTCTGAAAATATGAGTTTGAATCTCTCCCTTAGTATCACTTCTATAACAAAATTGCAATTTCATTTTGTTTTTTCAACTGGAATTTATTAATATTCAACCAAATTATTAGAAAAAAATAATATAAAGTTAAAAACAATAATGCAATAATAAAAAATTAGTAATAATATATAGATTAAACTCATTGCTCCATTAATTTGGCTTCCAGTTATTGGGGAAGCAACACACAAACATTTATCAAGGATCATATATCATAATTAAGACATGTTCCAAATGTGAAAAAAAAGGAATAAAAACTCGAGGTCGAGCCATGGGGCTAACCTTTCTTAGCCGCAGGTTCGAACCCAAATTAACCAAACGGGCAAACCCTCCACGTCATCATCAGTCAGCAATAGTCCAAGTCATATCATTCTGGAAGATCCAGTGGCAGACTTCGATCCGACCGGGACCCGAGCCCAATGCCAAAAAAGACCCATGAGTCGGACTCCAGGCAGACGTGTCCAAGTGACAGATGGCAACACCGTGGTTGATCTTGGCCTTCGAAACCGGGTCCAGAAGATCCGCTTCGTATACCCGAACTTTTGGAACAGAGTGACAGTAGTAGAGTAGGTAAGGGAACAAGCTCTGGTGGCACGACACCGACTGCGTGACTTTCCCGCCGTTGATTCCCTTCACCGATCCGACCATCACGTCGTGCTTCGCCCCGTTGACGTTCTCGGTGCTCCGGACGACGACGTTTCGGCCCAGGATGGTGGTGGCGAAGTCGATCATGTCCTCCGCGGACCCGACGCAGCGCTTCGTCTCGCCGGCGCTGGGGGCTCGCTCGCATTCCTGCAGGGCGTCGACGATGATCTTCTCCATCGACGAGTTATCCGCCGCGTGGAAGATTTGCTTGAGGGTGGCGATTTTGGAAGTGGCAAATGGTAATTTGGAGAGAATTGTCCGGGGCAGAAATGACCTTTTGGGCATTTTATCTTGAATGTCGGGCATTGGCATCACGACTCCTTTCTTGAGCATCGACTCCCGGAAGAATTTGCCCGGCTCCACCCATTTTTTCACCAAACTGCCACTAGCCGCCGCCGCTTTTACGGAGCCGCCGCCGGCCTTGGTGTAGCTTTTGAAACTTACGGTCTCCTTCTTGGCGTAGTCCTTGAAAGTCGTGTTCACGCCGTAGATCTTGAACCCGATATCCTGCCCCTTCGCGCCCTTCCCGTACCCGGTGAACTTATCCGACCCGATATTGAACGACTTGCCGTAACTCGTGAAATCCATCTTCTCGCCGTTGGAGTTCTTGGCGTACGACTGAAACGAGTCGTCGCCGACATTGGCTCTTTCTCTGTAGCTGGTGAATGTCTCGACTCCGGCATTGCCTCCGTCGCCGTAGCTCTGGAAATTGTTCTTTGGATTGTTCTGGTCGTTTCCGTAATTACTGAACTTGTCATTTGCTCCGTTCCCGGATTGGCCGTAACTCGTGAACCCGGACCCGACGACATTGGCGTTAGATCCGTAGCCCGTGAACTCGTTCGGGGCCCCATTGCCGTTTTTGGAGTAGCCAGTGAACGATTGGTCGCCAGCGTTGGCGTTCTCACTGTAACCCGTGAATCCGTGGGACCGCCCGTTTGAATCGTCCGAGTACGAGTTAAATCCGAGGTGGGGAACGTTCACCGAGTCGGCGTACTTCTTGAAATCGCCGGCGCCGCCGGTGGCTCCGGCGGCGTAGCCGTTGAAGCTCTGGTCCACCACGTTCCCGTCGTTGGCATAGCTGGTGAACTGGTCCTTGTGGTTGACCGAGTCGCGGCTGTACCGCCGGAACGAGTCGACAGGGATGTTATTGCCGAGCGAGTAGTTTTTGAACGAGTCGACTCCGGCAAGCCGATCGGTGCCGTAATTGGTGAAGTTTTTGTCTGCGTAGATCGCGAAATTCGCGTCCTTGTCGTGCTTTTCTAGGCTCTGTGCCAAATCGGGGAAGCAGAGAAGATTGGCTGCGGAGCAGAACTCAGGCAGCCGAGTCGAGAGGCCGTTCTGAGCCGCTAGCTTCGCGAAAGCCGCCGAGTCCACCGTGTTCAATGGCGAGGCCTTCGAGAGCAAAAACGATGGCTTCTCCGCATCGTTCCGGACCTCTTTGTTCCAGTAACGAACCAGATAGGCCTTTGGCGAAAATGGGTTTTCGGCTGCGCCGGAGCTGCCACCGGCGGCGGCGACAGCAACCTGCATTGTGTCATAACAATGGCAAATCGGTCGGAACAAGTAAAATTAAAGTAGCCAGAAACAATGCGGTACAAAAATTAATCAATAGTATGAATTAATTCATAAACGGTACGAAATAAATAAAAAAATTGGATTACTGTTATCTGGGTAGAGAAATTTAGATGGCTTACATTGAGAGACGAGAAGAAGATAAAGAACAGAGAGAGGGGAGTCACAAGGCAGATTTGTGTGTGCTGCCGCATTTTTGTTTTTCTTTATTTTTTATTTTTATTTATTGGGTGCGGGGAAGATTTAAGTGAGAGAGAGGGAGGGTTGAGAATTTTGGTGGATTTGTTGGGTTCTAAGCAGGTATATATATTGGTGTCGAAGAAAGAGGAGGGAATGAGTGAGAGTGAGTGAGTGAGAGAGTATGTGGGTTTGGAGAGTTTTTCAATATGGCTTAAATACGATACGGTACGTCATATATTATTATATAAGTAATGTTTCTTTATTTATATGGGTTTGGAGAGTTTTTCAATATGGTTTAAATACGATACGATACGTCATATATTATTGTATAAGTATAATGAAATGTTTCTTCATTTATATAATAATATATGTCGTAGTGCATATATTATGAGCACGTTGAAAATCTATTGTGTGTTTAGACTTTTGATGTCTCTCTCTCTCTCACTCTCTCTTGTGGAGGTTTCATGTTCTAATGTATTTTGATGAGTTTGATCCTTAATTATAACGGTGTGACCTTGTTGCTACACTTCACGTGATTTGCTAGAACAAGAAAACCAAATATCCAAGTGAATCAAGATCAGTAATTTACGCGTTGATTTTTATTAAATTGTTCGATTTGCCACAATGTAGAAAAAACAATTGATATTCAATTTAAGATGAACACCACAAAATTATAAAATTTAGTACCTAAAAATCAAACTGAAGCAAATTAATTAGAAAATCTTATGAAAGAAAAAGATTAGGGCAACTTTAATTTCCCAATTAAGAGAAATCTAGCTGTAATCAATAAAAATCCACTCTAATTAGATTTGAATCAAAGGACAGTCAATACGCAGTCTAGAATTTTGTCTTTAAATAACAAATAAACATGTACAACGCCAACGCGTCAACAATATTAAAATATTTATTCAAAAGAATCACAAAAGTGTTTGTCTAAAACTAAAAATACAATAGATACGACAATACAGAATTTGACCCCCACTTCTGAAACCAAAAATATAATAATTCAGTAAGTCATGGATTGCTCGTCTTGTATTTTATAATTTTTTTTACTTTTTTATTTTTAAAATTTGGGTCATGAAAACAACCATTAAGCAAGGGAAGAGGTAAGGTTGCGTACAACAGACATTCTCATTTCGATCCTTGCAAAACGGAGGGCGAGTCTTTGGGCAATAGAAAAATTGCTCATTTATGACTGACAGGTCACGGTTCAAGTCGTGGATACATCCTATTTACAAAACAATGATAAGGTTGCGTACGATAAACGTTCCTTCATTGAGTCTTGCAAAGATGGAATCCTTGTTAGCTTGGAGTTGCCCTAATACGTCTCAATTCAAATTTTCTTATTTTTCGTAGTTTGTAATCTGATGTAGTAATAATACAAGAAAGAAATTTAATCTTAATTAAGAGAGCGACTCGTACAATACAAATATAGAGTCGATATTACGACAATATATATGAGTTTTGTTTTGCCTAACATTACAACATTAACTGAAAACACAATAACATTAAACAATATACTCGTATCATGTAAATCTTTTTAATTAAGTGAACTAACCGACATCAGAAAACGCCACGTCAATCAGTCCACGAGTTCAAGGCCGCAAACTGAGTTCTGACTCTTTAGCAAAGGAGAACAAAGAGTGAGTGCACTGATGTTGTGGCAACCCTTAAAACAGTGTAGATCACAGGTGGCAAAGTGGGATTGGCGGGGGGTCGCTGTTAAGACAGATTTTTGACGCGTTTAGCCGCTTAAGTTTTTGTTCTCTAATCCGGAATCTTTTCGTGATCCCTCTTTTTCCCAACGGGAAGGCATGCATTATTAGAATTGATTCAACACGAGCTGCATTATATCATGGACAGTGCCAAAGCTCGTGAGCTTTGGCAGGTTTTGTAGTTTCAGCGAGAGTGATGGGGTTGTTTTCGGAATTGTCGAAGAGATTTCTCCAACTTGTTCGCTTGCTATATCACATGATTGCGTGAATTACCACTTGAAAATGTGTGTGGATCGATTACGATCGGGGATGATTGGACTAATTTGTCAACTAGTCTTAGCTATAACGAGGTTTAACCATTGTTCTAAAAATCAGTAGATGGTAGTCGGACGTCTGGGAGGAGCTTAGGCGGGATCTAAGCGGTTCTTTATTTTATTTGAATCTATTATATAACATATAATATATAAAAATATCGCTAAATTTTGTTTAGTATTTTGGTGAATTTGATTGTATGAGATGAAAATTTAAGTGATTACGAGTCCGTAGTACGTTAAAGGATATTTGTCAAAACTTGTATGAATTTATAGTGAATTTTAGGAGAAATAACAGTATCAAACACATGATCTTAAAAACATTGGCAAAGTGGGTCACATAGAAGGTAAGCAAGGGCGCCAAACTTTCAGCCCATATTAACTAGCAAACTAGGTGACGCAACTTAATTGGACAATAGTTACAAAAACAAAAAAAAGATTTGGTGAAAGTTGAGAGGTCACATGGGTTGGGAATGAGAGAGAGAAACTCTCTGTTCTTCTTCCTTGATCTCTTCTTCTTCGTTGGACCAAAGTGTGCAAAAACTGTAGTTGTCCATTCATTCTTTCTCAAGTTTGAAAAGCAGAAAAAAAAATGATTTTGAGTTATAAAATAATCAAACTAAATCGCCTAAGACGCCTAATCACCTGCCTAGAGCCATTTGATAATCATTTTGTTTTTACTTTTAACTTAACAAAACATGTTAGATAACTGCTAACCTCGAAACTTAAGTTCTCAGAGAATAATCCACCAATGTATATATGACGCACATCATATTTATTTGTTTTGAGGACATCATATTTATTTGTTTTGAGGAAAAAGAGACAAACATATAAGTGTAATCTCACAAAAAAAAAAGGGACACGTAAGTGAGGAACTTGGAGTAAACTCATAATCGCTTGCGGATCAATATCTCAAATCATTAGTTTGTAAACTTGACTAATCCTAATTAATATTTGGCATGTGTTTTCAATAATGTACGTGATCACCAAATCATATGATTGTGTCGCTTTATATATAGTTAATTATCATGCATTTTCCGCACGCTTCATAATTAATTAAAATTATTCGTATTTCATGAGCAAAACACAGACATGAAGAATCAGACATGGGCAAGGACACAGGCTTTCCAATTTATGTTGTGTGAAACAATGAAGAATTTTCTCTGATCTTGACCTGGTACCAGGATTTTTGACAAATGAGACTGCATCAGAATATATAGGGACCCATTAATAAATTTAAAGGTTCTGTAAAGATAAGTCCTTGTACCTTTTAATTGTTATAGATCGAACATGCGTGAAAAAATTGTGTTGTCGAATGATGTCATGTTTGTAGACATCGAAATTTCGGTAAATAAATGTTAATCGATAAATCAAAGTTTCAACGCTCATGTATTACATAAATTTTACACGTAGCGTGTGACTCGACGAAAAATTGAAATGAGTTGGAAAAGTCATCAAATAGGACACGTGTCAACACCTGGCAGAAACAACTTATTTCATCTGGAATATTATATTCAAAATTAGGCCTTGGAAATTTCTATAAATAGAAGGTTAATTCATTCATTTGAGGGGAACCAATTCATATTACACCTTGAAGCTCTGAAGCTCTGAAACTCCGAAGCTCTCAAGCATCCAGGTTCCCGAAGAATCAAGAAAGCCTTCTTCGTTCTTCGTTCATCGTTCTTCCAAGATCAAGCCCTGACGGCTCTTGAAGAAAGTGTTCTTCGTTCCTCGTTCATCGTTCTTCCAAGATCAAGCCCCAACGGCCCTTTGGATCAACAATCATCCACCAATTCAAGATCAAGCCCCGACGGCCCTTGAAGAAAGTGTTCTTCGTTCTTCGTTCATCGTTCTTCCAAGATCAAGCTCCGACGGCCCTTGGATCAACAAGCCACCGTTCTTCAAGATCAAGCCCAAAAGCCCTTGAAGATCCGTTCATCACTGTTCTTCAAGATTAAGCCCAAAAGCCCTTGAAGATCAGTTCATCACTGTTCTTCAAGATCAAGCCCAAAAGCCCTTGAAGATCCGCTCATCACCGTTATTCAAGATCAAGCCTCAACGGCCCTTGAAGAAACACTCATCCTCAAGATCAAGCCCCAACGGCTCCTTGAAGATCTGCTCAAATCCACCTTCAAAGATCAAGCCCACGACCCTTGAAGAAACTTCCAACAGTTCATCCAAAATCAAGCCTCGACGGCCCTTGGATCAACGAAACATCCACAAATCAACACCTTATAGAGATCGAATCAGAGGATCAAACTTAAGAGAGATTGTAACCCAAAATCATCAAATACAAATATTATTTTGTGCATGTTGTTCTTGTCGCTTTCGTTTCAGGAAATTTTTGTGTTCACAAATTTGGCACGCCCGGTGGGACCATCTCTACCTCTCATATCTTTCTCCGTTCAAGGAATCCAAACACACCTCAAAGTCAATGGCATCAAGCAAGGGACAAGTCGTTCTCGCAACCACTGAGGGAAGGATCCTAAGCACTTCTGCCGCAAACGGACAATCCATTGACGCCACAACCGCTCCTCAACATGTCACTTCAAAGTTGGTGCCGCTAAAAGAGTAAGGGGAGCATCAAAGGTGCAGGTCCGTCATCAACCTAACCTCGCTGGGGGCATCAAAGCATGTCGTTGAGGCACATCAGATGACATCCCAAAGCGGCCAACGGGGTCCTTCATCAACACCCTGGATGCCTGAAGAGTCACGCATAATGGTTGCACAAGTCATGACCATCGGCGTTACCTCCATTGAAGAACAGCTGGCTCAAATGAATGAAGCGATCGCAAGGCTAACACGGATTGTTGAAGAAAAAGACTTGCAAATCGCTGCACTCGTCAGCCGACTGGAGCCACAAGACGGTGAGAACCCCGACCCAAAGGATGATCCACTAAAGAAAGGAGATGGCAAAGAAGATGAGCCTTCGGTGGAGAATATCGATGTGAAGCCGGAGCCAGACCAAGCAGCGGCACTCATGGGATCTCTTTCTATCCAACAGCTGCAGGAGATGATCACCAACACCATCAAGGCACAGTACGAAGGGAGCTCACATACCTCCTTGTTCTACTCGAAGCC